AAATCATCAGAAAACCTCTAAGCAGCCAGAGGAAGCTATAGTTAATTAAACCACAGATGGTGAGGACTAATGTGGTGTTGACCTTTCTAAGGACTGCAAAATCTACTTAGTCTTTTTCTCTAAAACACTGGCTGAAATGAGATTCTGCTGATGCAAAATGATGTCCTTCATGCATTGAAGCCGAGTGCAGAGACRCTGTCGCCAGGGCAGGCGCTGCCCCAAATGTTTGCAGGTTCTGAGGCATGGACTGTGTTGAGGCTTTGTCTTCAAGGCTCTAATTTAAGCATTTCAAATGCCAAAAGCTACTATTTTCCCAGTAGTAGTTTTCCTATAATACAAATCATAGGTTCTTCTCTTTTTCTTTGTGGAAAAGTAAAAGTTGCCAGCTGATGYTGGAGTTTCCATGGCCTCCTAAGCACTACATGAGCTGTGTAATTGATTATGTGGGAGGTGAGGGAGGGGTTCTCTGGATCCGTTCTTGAGTTTCTGTTGTGTGCTCAAGGCTTTTGCCTCCCAATTTCAAGTGAGCTTGTTTCTGCACTCTTCTGGGAAGAAGRACCTCATAGTATTTAAATGTTGAGGAAACGCCTTACTTCACTAGCACAAGCCTTGCTGGAAAGTGGAAGTGTGCTAGTGGTGCCACCACAGACGTGTCCTRCCAGCCAAAACAGAGAAGGGGCTTGCGATTGCTTGGAGCTTTAAGAACACACTCTGTTTTGGGGGCAGCGTGCTGATTCTGTAATACACAGGGCTGTCTTTTGGTGTCTCGGACACTGTTTTGTTTGTGGATGGGGCTCGAAGACAAGTCCTCAATGTGACTGAGACTTGTGTGTCTGGGGTGTGCTCTTGGAAATTCTTGCTTGATTCATAACTCAAGAGTTCAGAGGTCTTGTAAGTGATCTGCACTTGTTCACCCATGGCTTTGAATGCCAAATTATGTTCGTCTGAAAATGTTGCCCTGAACAAAGATTCCCTGTTTCTGGGAAGCAGCCCCGGAAGAGGCAGCAGTGGGTCTGGTTGCAGTGCAGTGGTGTCCTGACCTGGTGGCATGCTCTGCAGTTTGCAGTTTGCAACCTGCTCTCTCCTTTTGTACCAGAAGGAAGAAAATAGATATACTCAGAAAAAATGTCAATCATTGCATTAATTGGGAAAATTATTTCATTCTTTGTGCTTTAGGCCGTTGTAAGAGTCTAGCACATCCCCAGCAGGTCAGGATTTTCATCTAAAAAGACACACAGCCGAGTGAAATATTATTTGGACAGTTAAGCAGCAAGTCCACTGCACCAGAAGTAAATTCCTGTTTTAGAGTGGAATGACAGAAGACCAGCAGCAGAACTCTGTAAAAGCGGCCATGTGTTGAGGAGCTTCTCATAGTCACGCTGCTTCATGTGACCGTCTTCCAGAAGGGTAGGAGGGACTGCCTGTGTCATCTTCCTGGCCCAGAGGCTCTTTATCTTCTTGCTGGTGTTGTATGTAATCCTTCTTTCAGCAAGGGCCGCTTCTGCGTCAGTTCTATTAAGAACTGCGTGTGGCAGATTTTAGAAAGAAATTTGCCTTTCTCTTATTTGCATTTTGATTTGCATTTCGTAAGGGTTTCAAACCAGCAACCTCCTCCTGGAGGAGGAGTTCYAGGGCTTATGGAGAGGGATTTTTTTTTTAAGTAGAAGTACTTTAAAGGAGGAAAATACTAGAGAAAAACCCAACAGGGCATTTAATGTTTATGCAGCTTGGTCTGTCAGTCTTGTTCCTTCAACCAAGAAGGAGGTGAAAATGAAGCTCCTAATTGCCAGCAATCAAGAAGTACTTTACAAGTTATTTTGGTTGTTTTTCTTGAACAATAAAAAACGTAGGGTAAAGAAAAAGATCAGGCACTGCTGAATCATCTGTTCATCTTTAGTACTAAGAGGATATTGCAAATTGTCAGCCTTTTGCTCAGTGCTCACTCTTTTGTTTGTTTTTTGAAATTACCCCGCTTGCAGTTTTCACTAAAGCAGTTTGCTTAAAGGTTTCACCTTACGGTTTAATGCATGAGCTAATTAATATCCTGGTTTTGCAGATTTTCAAATTTAACAGAATACGTCTTGTTGCACACAGCTTTGTCCCTTGATACACATAGTACACGGTGTATATACCAACAGTTGTGGAACTGATTAGATTTTAGGATCTGTTTTATTAATTCCTTGCCTTGCATTTCCAGGTGGCAGTAGCAGTTGGGCTTTGCCAYGCTGATTTTCATTCACCTGTATTTTAGTGCCATACTCCCAAGTGCACAGCAGAATATTTTTTTTATCTCAGTTACTGACAATATATTAAATGCTAGTGTTATGTGTTTGCGTGCATGTGTGTGTTTATATATAATATCTATATATATAAATTTTTTTTCAGAGATCTTGGATTCTCTTTGCTATTCCTTCTACAATCCCAGCCATACCTGGGTATGGTTTGTGTAATGGATCCTTGACCTCCCTTGTGCCCTTTGCAGCTCATCTCCCCTTTGCTGATTTATAGTACATGGTGAGCTATTAAAACAAATATAACATCAGAGTAGTCTTGGCTATGTCTGTTTGAAAGCAGGGGTTGAGCAGGGACTGGAGAATGAAGGAAAAGCAGTCTGGTGCTGCCTGATGCCCAGCTATTTTTTTTCTGTTGTAGAGAGGTATTAACAGCACACACAGTAATACCTGCTTGATGTATTTGTTAATATCCAAGGAAGACAGTTGCCTGGACACGTTGGTTTGGTTTGCTGAGGAGGGTGGGACGTGCTTCTTAATTTCCATCCCTGTTCTCCATCTGTCCAAAGCTGAGCCCTCCCTTCAGCAGCCCCTGGGAAGGAAGCATCATTTCTAAAGCTCTGCACTGACCCTGCTTTTCAAAGCCTCTGTAGTCTCCTTTGCTAGGAAGTGTTGCACTAAACATTTTAGGTGTAAGATACTGGTAGGCTTGATGCGTCTGAGTAGAGGATCGAGCAGAAAAGATAGACCAGTTCTGTCTGTAGATTCCTCCTTATCTTCACTGTCAAGTTCAAAGAAGGCCAAGGTGCTTAAGAGGGATGTGGAATTTAAAGAAGGAAGAGTCCCGGTGTGTGTTGTGGCCAGTGACAGGGCTAATCCCTAACTAGTGTGCTTGAGGACAAAGGAAAGGCTTGGGCACGTGGCCTGCAGAACTCATGGTGAGAGCAGCGTAACATGCCTGAGGTGAGAGCCCCGATGGCTGCGTGCCGGCTCAGCGGGCGCACACGTGGAGGCAGCATCTGTGTGTGCGGCGGCGCGGGCGAGCAAGTGGGAGCCCCCGCAGCGCCGCGGTGCCTCGGCCAGGGAACACGCTGCCCGCCGTGCACCTCCTCCCGCGAGGCCGCGACGGGGAGYGCAGAGGAGCGGTCATCGTGCGGCTCCCACACCAGCGAGTCTGCTGGGTGCCATGGGACATCGGTCCCTCTTCCCAGTGTTCCTGCATCTGTCTCTGGGATCTGGGATCGAATCCCAAAATGGATTCGCAAATGCAAGCGAAGCAGCTAATGTCTCTTCTAGTCTGCCTGAGGAGAGCAAGGATTTCGCTGTGCTGCCGTTGGGGGACGAGCGCTCTCATGGCCGCTCCTGGCTGTGGTGGTGTGAACAGTGGAATTGCCTGGTGGCATCTGTCACCTGGTGGCAGAAGTCCTGTTGGTCGTCGTCCTCCCTATTGCTTGGCTCCACGCCACAGGTATTATAGCGGTCACCAGGACCGTTCTTTTTGGATCTGTTGGTGTACTCCTGAAAACGCTGGAAGGGGAACAGCCATTTTCTTTAACAGATGAAGCGTTGGTGCGTTCTGTGATGGAGAATAGCAAACCTCTAAGGAAGCGACTGCTGAATTTGAAACAGAGACCTTGTGATACAGTGAGTTAATAGGAAGAATCTCATTGGGGTGAATAGAGAGAAATCGCTAATGTCATTTGAGGGCCTGACAGCAGTGAACGGTTCCCTGAGTGTTGGCTCTTATATTCTGTGGCTGAAGCTCTTCATAATAAATTGCGAGACATCAATGAGCTTGTTGGAGATCAAGGGAAGAAATTACTTGATCTCGGTTGCAGTACTGATAAAAACGTTTTACATTTTGTATGTTGAGAGTCTCTGTGATTATTCTAGCTCTATCTGAAGTTCTTTCAGCACAAATGAATGTTCCTCCTGGATTTCCAGGGCCACCGTCTGCACTAGGAGTCACCAACCTGCAGAGCAGCTTTGCTTCTCTGACACAGATCTCCAGGCAGAAATAGCAACTGTGCTCTGAAATAGAGAAATAGATGTATAATCAGGTGATGATTTGAGCCACGCTTTCAAGGGTACAGAACAGTGCTTTGTGTAGCATTTCCTTGCTTGGAGGACAGTGCCACCAGTCTTGTCTTAATAACCCAGATGTAGTCTCTCCAATTAAGATAGTAGAGAATCTTTTCCAACAAAATTGAGATCAAATAAAATGTGTTTTAATCATTGAATTACCTTGTGGATGAAGGCCTGCATACTTGCAAGTTAGTAATGGTGCTTGTTTCTTTTATTATACAGGTATGTTTTATGAATTATCTTTATGTTTTTAAACCTGTATATGTAAGCTTGTGTTTGATATGCATGTCCATATTAAATTTTATAAATACRTGAAATAAGGATAAYTTTTTCTTGATTCTTTTTGTTATTRYTTACCTAGTTCTTGCTGCATACCTGTAGACATTGAATTCTTTAAAAGGTCGATTTAGATCGTAGTAAACCAGTATTTATGAAAGTGTGATCCTATTAATAGCTTGTAAGTCTGGCCACATACAGGATCTGACATACTGTGATGCTTTGAAATAACTCTTAGCAGTATCTTGCACTTGTAAGATTTTTCTAGCAGTAACCCAAGGACTTTTAGAGAACCAGAAAAATTGCATCAAACTACTTAATACTGTATTGTAAAATATATTTAGGAAAATAAACAGAAATGTTGCAAATAAACATAACATATGGTTCTTTCTTTAATCTCTACTTTAGGACGACGTAGACAGTCTAAACCCAGTTCTCAGGGATAACCCGCAGTTACATGAGGAGGTAAAAGCCTGGGTAAAGGAGCAAAAGGTTCAGGAGATTTTTATGCAAGGTAATTATTTGGGAAATTGTGTTGTTTTTATTGTGTGTTGGCTAGCTTAAGGCTGTTAGTCGCATGGCATTTGTCCCATAGCATTTGTGGCATAGTGAAGAATGTAATTCTAACTTGGTACTTCAGAAGTGTTTGTTAAAACAGAAAACAAGCCTGTGTAAGAAGCTGTGCACAACTTCTCTGATGTCTTGGGGACTGTGGCAGAAGCTGAAGATCTTTAGTCTGTAGGTACTTGACAAGGATGTGTTCTGGAAGCCCACGAGTGAAGGGCAGGCCCGCGCCGTGAGCCGTTTGGAGCCGCGACGCTGCTGCCGCCCTTGCTGTGGCTGCCGGCAGCAGGAGAGCTGGCACGTGGTGCTGGTGCCTCTTCCCACCTCCGTCACCGAGCAAGAATGCTTGAGACAGCCCCCTCTGAGACTGAAAAAAGGGCCTTTTGAATCAGTTCAGATTTCATAACTCATTTATAATACTGCAAGGTTGCAGCAAACCCATCCAGTCATCAGTTACAGTCATCGTTTTTCTTACACTGCAGATACAAGCTATGTGAAAACTAGTATGAAAGAGACGGAAATTGTTAACCCAACCTTGCTAATACTTCTAGTGTTACGTGCACTGCAGTGTGATCATTAACTTTTTGCAGGACTGGTAATCAGCTCTCCAGAGGCATTTAAGTGACTACCTGTAGGAGGCAAAAACTAACTTGTATGGACCTGGGCTAAAATCCCTAGGTAATCAACAGAGCAACTTGGGGCCAAAAATGCTTGAATCAAGGTTGGGAGGGAAGCAGCAAATAACTGAATGTTTTAAAGATGGGAATGAGGTTTGCTTGGGTGTCTGCTTTGTTTCATAAAACTAAGATTAGAAGACCAAAGGAATATGGTAAGTGTAATGCTGAAGTTAAAAGCAGAATACTTTCCTTTTGTGGAGTTTTTAATTATGTAAAGTTATTCTTAAGGGCCACAGAGAAAGGGTTCTGCAAAAAGCGAAGGGCTTGCTTGTGGAGGTGGTATTTGGTATGTCCAGATTAGTAATTTTAGGTTTTATCACTGTATCATCAGTTACAGTGTGAGTCAGTAGTCTGATGAAATTTTGCAGCCAAAAGGAGTTTGAGAGGTGATGAGAAATCAAGTTAGGGCTGCATAAAAAAAAAGAATTGAGCTTATTAMATGTGCTTCATTAGAGAACAGTGAAAAGACAATTTACCAAAGGCTCCGTATTCCCCGGTAGAGAATCAATACTGTAAAAAAGCTCCAGCGACATCAAACCAGTCACCTCAATAGTCATCACCACACGGCTGCTCGGATGCGCCYGGGCTCCGCGCAGGACGAGCATTGCCCAGACGAAGGCGAAGTGGTCGCTGTGCCACCAGCCCGTGGAGGCCACCGAGACAGCAGCGCTTTGCACCAGACCTCGGGGCCTYGGGGCCTGCCCTGCAGCAGCACCGGCTGCTCTGAGCCGCTCGGAAGCCTCCTGTTCTGCTGCCCTCCCGCTCTGCTTTTCCCTCCCTTCTCTATGTCCYGTCCTCCTGCCCCGTTAGCTTAGGCGGCGTTTTCACTTGTGCTCTGCACAGCTGCCTCTGTTCAGGTCGCTAGTGTTGTCGTCATGGTTTGGAGGAGCCTGTTTTTTTCACCTGCAGTGCTGAAGCTGCCATACCTTGCTGTTTTCTGTTTTGACTGCTGCTGCAGTTAAAGCAGTTTTGCTGAAGAACRCAGAATCATGGAAATTCAGTTCCAAATATTTGGACAGAAATGCRTTGATTTTACAAGGGGAGGATTTTAGTCAAAGCTGCTGACGTGCATACAGAATGAGACTGAAGAAAAAACCCTGGCCCCAGTGACCTTGCCTCTGGGTGGCAGTTACTGCAGCATGTTTTGCAGTAGAGATTGTAGGCTTGGCAGCAATAGCTTCTTCCTTGCTGAAAGAGCAACTCCCAAATTTGGCCAAGTTGAAAACTTTGAGGAAAAATAAAAAACAGATCAAGGAACATAGTCAGCAATGACTTAGATTTTTTTTTTTTTTTTTTTTTTTTTAAGCAATTTAAATCTTTGACATTTTTCTCCCTATTAGGTTTCTTACCTGCCGGGCCTGTGAGGCTGCGTGCGCAGCGACTCTGAGCCGCGCGCGCTGCAGCGAGGCGGGMGCTCACCGCTCACCTGCGGGGCCGGGGACCACGGCCAGGCCGCGTGTGAGCAGCAGGGCCGCGCTATCCTCACGGCGCTGCCCGCAGCTCAGCCCCGCCGCGGGCGCAGCTTAATCTTCCTCCCTCTTCCCGACACCCCAGCAGTGTGGAAGAAGAAAGGGTCTTTCAAGGTAGCTGAAGGTGGATGCACAAGGAGATAGCACAAGGGCTGGGGTGAAGGACAGGCGCCAATTAGAACAAGGAGTACGAGGAAGGGAATTAGCCCTGGGACAGCATGGAGCAACGCAGGRGCAGCCCAGAGCTCATCAAGGGGGACGATGGAGCGTCATGTAAACTGCAGAGACTGGGGAAGGATTGGGAGCCAGGGCCTGGAGCTGCCAGGATGAGACCAAGGGCTGGGAAGAAACCAGAGGATGGTTGTGCAAGAAATGGAGACTGAAAATCAGGGTGCGGATGGCAGAAGGATGGAGGAGCTAGGATAGGAAAGGAGGAAAGCGGACGCTGGGCAGAAGGACGTGGGCAGAAGTTAATGCAGTGATGCTGACCGACTGAGAGGAGCGGTAGGGCTGCCATGAAGCACTGGAGACCTAGAGGGAAAGAATGTGGGCCCGTCAGAGGCAGCAGGGTGAGGGCTGTGTGAGAGGTGCTCCGCAGGGAGGACGGGCTGGAGAGAAGCCATCAGGAAGTGTGTCCTCCTGGGACCCGGTCTGCTCCAAGGCCAGGAATGCCAGACCTCAGCGTGCGGCTTGTTCTACTCCTGGTCGTGCGCGTCCGCACGGCACAGCTCCTGGGCTCGCCAGAGCCGCTGCGGGCTGAGCCGCTCCAGCAGCCCTGCGCGTGTGGGCCACTGGTCCCCACTGCGCACTGAGCGCCGTGGGCAGCGGGATGCAGCTCCCGCCTATCCACGGCCCCCTTTAAAACCTAGCTGATCACATGCAAAAGGTGTTTTACAAYGGCTTGCTAAGATTGCAAGAAAAAAAAACACATGGAGACGTTTAAATTAGTGCTGCTTATGTACTTGTAATTGATCCCTGAGCTGTTGGCATTCAAAATAGTCCTTATGGTCACTCAGTTCTTTCTCGTGCGCAGTGTGTGGGGTGGATATGGGCAAGATGTCCCCTCCACCATCCTGGCCTGTTGCTGCAGCTGCTTGAGCTCGTGCAGCGTGTGAGACAGGGTCAGCGAGAGTGATGTCCACAGAGCCCGGGGTGATGGCCAGGCCTGGCCAGGCAGTGGAGCAGCCGCGCGGGCTGAGGCGCTCGTGTGAGCTGGGCCGCTGTAGCTTGAGGCTGCTTGGCTTGCCTTGGTTTCCTGTACGCCGGCTCGGGGCCTGGGCGCGGAAGGAGCAAAACCGGCACAGTTGGGTCTGGACGCGGCGGCAGCGGCGCCGCAGTGCGTGAATGCTGACGAGCCCGAGGACCTCTGCTTGGGAGGAAAACTTGAACCTCAGTATCTAGATCTTATATAAAAGGAGTTATAAAAGGGGTGCTGTGTTGTCCTGGCCATCCCCTGCCTCCAGAATGGGCTTGTGCAAGTGGAATCAGTTGATCCTGGTGAAGGGGGACAGTGCACAGCGTTAAGACTTCAYATCTTAAGGCAGGAGCTGCAGTCTTGCTGGCCTTTGCTTTTGAAAATGTTTTGTGTGGCAGGAGTAGGGATTGGATCACTGAGCTGCCTCTGAGCTGAGGAAACAGAGAGAAGCTCTGTGGTTCCTTTGGGGAAAGGCTTGGCACAGCCAGAGCCCTAACACCAAGGTGCAAACGGTTTTGCCAGCCAAGCAGGGGCCATGTGCCTGGCCTGTGAAGTAGCTGCTGTATAACCTGCTGCTGCCGCTTTCTAGCCTTTCACATCACTTTTGTGTGGTGACTATTTGTAGGCAGGGATTTTCCCATCATTTGTCATTAGGGATGTAAAAAGATGTAGTTAGATAAGAAAACTGTATGTTGAAAATGTTAGCATAATTGACCTTAAAGCATACTTAAATGTGCCATTTGCATTTCAAAATGTCTTTCTGAATAAAAGTAAAATTCACAGGCATTGCTGTGCCGGAAGCATTTACAGTCAGTGTATTTGCATTATATGTTGCATGATGAAGCTTAAAAGCAAGGAAAAATATTTGTACTTTTTTTTTTTTTTTTTTTTGCTAAACTCCTCAATGGCTTTTTTTTTTTATTTTTCTAAAGGTCCGTACTCCTTAAATGGTTATAGGGTGAGAGTATACAGACAGGATTCTGCCACCCAGTGGTTTACTGGTATAATTACTCATCATGATCTCTTCACTCGCACTATGGTTGTTATGAATGACCAGGTGAGTTTGATATGCTATGCTCAGAAAACGTGCCCCACATAAAGTGTATATTGCAAGCTTTAATGTTTTTTGTGCTGCTCTGAAAAACGCACTGAGCTGCTCACTTCCAGCAGGGAAAATCCATTGCTGCTTGTGCTGGAGATGCAGCGTGTCTTTCCACTGGGCCAGCACTGAATGCTGAAACTGAATATTTGTGCAATTACGTGATTAATTCCAGTCCTGCAGTTTTGCTTTCCTTCTGCTCTCGTTACTGGACGAGTTAAGTGTCTGAGGTGGAGCAATCTCTGCTTCAGAACTGGTCTTCCCTGTCAGCTCAGTTGAGAATTTCTTTTCTCAGTCTAAAATCTCGTAGCGTTGCAATAACAGCAACTTCTGTCCAGCAATTGGGGTGTCCCCGTTCCACAGTTTACTGCAGGAAGCATTTCCTGAAGCCTTAATTTATTTTTACTGTGGTGAGCTTTAGCTGTGTTTCTGAAAATACAGCTATTTCTGAAAAGAATTAACACTGGTATTTCTAGTGGCAGCAGTGAATCCTATTTCAGGATACCTCAGTAATGACTCAGTATTGGTGTAGTCAATGACCTGTTTGCCTTGAAAGGTCTGACAAAATCATATACGACAATACATATAAATTTGAGTCTGGTCTAACACTCATATCCATTCTTTTCCCTTCACTTACTCTAATAATTTTTCCAAATGCCAACTTTTCACTTTGTGAAGCAGAAGTTAAAAGACCTGTTCAGTGTTTCTTTCTAAAGTAGCTCCCGTCACTAGCATCGCTCCTAGAGCCTTGGACTTCTTCCCTCTGGACGTTTAGGTTATTGTCTGGCAGTTGAATGCAATGTTGTAATATGTTTCTGCAATACCTTTTATAATGTATGAAATATATGAGTATTTTGTACAATTTATAAATTTTAATTGCTGCTTAAACATTATTCTCTAGAAAGAGCTTAGTGTCTTTTAATTTACAGTTTACATTTTGGTGAAACAGAGGGAGCAGTGGTGCGGTGGTAACTTTAAAAAGGGCGGGGGAGGGAAGGGAATTATCTTTACAGTGAAATGCTCATGCATAAATTGTACTTTTTTCCCAGCCTCTCTAAAGTCCTACCTCAGTTCTACTTGCCAAGATTAAGTAGGCTTTTCTCTAATTAGTCTTTAACACACAACATAGTCTAAATATAGGTGAACACTGATACAGAAAATATAAATTGGACAGTGGCTGAGCAACTGCTGATTATTGTTTTTCTTTTTCAATAACCAGGTGTTAGAACCTCAAAATGTTGATCCTTCTATGGTTCAGATGACCTTTCTAGATGATGTCGTTCACTCTTTGTTGAAAGGTGAAAATATTGGCATCACTTCACGCCGAAGGTCTCGTTCCAACCAGAACAGCAACACAGTTCATGTAGATATATTTCTCATTTTACCTAAGTGTTATTGTATATTGCAAATACTAAATATACATGTTTAAAGTCACTAATCAAAATTGTGTTAAGTCATTAATTACAAAATTAATTTTAGGGTCATTTTACACGTGCGCAAGCAAATAGTCCCAGGCCAGCAATGAATCCCCAAAGTGCAGCACCCAAACAGCCTTCCCAGCAGCAGCAGCAGCAGCAGCCGCCGCAGCCGCAGCGCAGTACTCGGCCGAACAAAAGGAAAGGCTCCGACAGCAGCGCGCCTGACGAGGAGAAGATGAAGGAAGAGAGATACGATTACATTGGGCGAGGAGGTAGGAGCAGTTACTGGGAAGCGAGGGAGAGGGTCTTGAGACTCTGTTGGACTGGAAATGTGATAAAAATGTTTTTTTTTTTTTTTTTTTTCCAGAACACCCCAAAGCCAAAAATAAACACTTCCTTAGTAAAAGAAGAAAACCTGAAGAGGATGAAAAGAAATTAAACATGAAGAGACTGCGGACGGACAATATCTCAGATTATTCTGAGAGCAGCGACTCGGAAATCTCAAATAAAAGATTAACAGATTCGTCCTCAGAGCAAAATTCGGAAAATGAGTTAAAAGGCAAGAACACTTCAAAGATAAATGGAGAGGAGGGAAAATCCCAAACTATTGAGGAATTACAGGAGCAGACACTACCAGATAGGCAGTCTCCATGGCGTGAAATACAGGAGGATAAAAAACGTGAAGAGACAGAAAGACTGAAGTCATCTGTCTTAGATCAGCAGGAACAGTCTTCACTCCATGCAGCAGAGCAGCCAACACCTTATGAGCAGAATGCCAAGGATCCACATGTGCAAGAGTGCAGCGCAGAAAAACATCATACTGTGGAATTAAAAAATGAGCAGTTTGTACCCAGACCTCCTACTCCAAAATGTGGTGTTGATATAACTAATGTAAACAGCTCTGAGAAGGAGAGCCAGGATACTGCTGCAAGTACCTTTGGTTTGCAGACGGTTCAGAAAACTGAATCTCAGAGCAGTGATTTAAAACAGCAGTTTGCAAATGCAAATTTCCTTGAAACAAGAAAACAGGAAACTGATCAAAGTTGGGTGAGCAATGTTGTTAACAAGACGAGTTTGATACAACCTGGGGTTGTGAAAAACTTACCAGTAACAGAACATTTGAATCCTGAAAAAGAGAAAGTGCCGCATGGCTCATTTATACCTTCGTTAAATGTAGCTTCTTTAGCAGAAGAAAGTAAACTGCGTAAGCAAAGTCCAGTCCCTGATTCTGTGAAGTCAAAACCTAGTGCTTCAGTTGATCATCCTAAAACAAAGTCACCTGATGTTAAGCCTAAATTCACCCAATCTTCTGATACTGTGAAGTCTAAGGTTAGTTCCCAAAACAGCCATGCCACAGGATTAACAAGGTCAGCCAATAAAAGCGAGCATGATTTGCCAAGGTCTAGTTTCCATCCAGTTCCAGCTAGAGTTAGTGCTCTAGAAACTACTAAAAGTCCTCTTATCATTGACAAGAACGAACATTTCACGGTGTACAGGGACCCCACTCTGATTGGACAAGAAGCAGGAGCTAATCACATTTCACCTTATTTGCATCAGCATAATTATCCGCTGCATTCCTCATCCCACCGAACCTGTTTAAATCCGAGCGCTCATCATCCTGCATTATCTGGTTCATCCCATCTGTTATCTGGGTCTTCCACTCAGACTCCGCTGTCCGCTATTAACACTCATCCTCTTAGTACCGCATCTCACCCTTCTGTTCATCACCCCCATCTACTTCCTGCAGTGTTACCCGGAGTGCCTGCCGCCTCCTTGCTGGGTGGCCACCCGCGCCTAGAGACTGCTCACGCTAGCAGCCTAAGCCATTTGGCATTGGCACACCAGCAGCAGCAGCAGATGTTACAACACCAGTCTCCACATCTTCTTGGACAAGCTCATCCTTCTGCTTCCTATAATCAGCTAGGGCTTTATCCAATTATTTGGCAGTACCCAAATGGAACACATGCTTACTCAGGACTCGGTCTGCCCTCCTCGAAATGGGTCCACCCTGAAACTCCTGTTAACGCAGAGGCTTCCTTGAGAAGGGTAAGTTGTGTTGGTTTAATTGCATTTTTAGTTGAGCCTGGTATCTCCCCAGTCAGTGGTAATGTTTTAGGTGCAAACTTGGCAGTCCTCTTAACTGTGTCATTGACCCTATGCAGTCRTGTTGGGCTTTTGCACAGACCTGGGACTGGAAATGGAAATCTGGGAATGCTCTTGTTTGCAGTATGTGAGAGTAGGGTCTTCTAAGACCTTGATTTCCTGATATTTTAAAGTGAGATGAAATGTTTAGGTTTTAAGCTTATGACCAAGGGAGGTCAGCCAGCTGGTTTGAGACCTTAAGTCCACTTGGTGAATATTTGTTTTTTTAAACTATGAAAAACAGCAGATGGGTTAAAATCCTGGAAGAAGTAGGACAGTCGTCTTCCTAGTTAAGTTTCCTGTGTGTGTGTTGGGTGATGGGGAGAGGCTGCCACCGAAGCACTCCCAGATTCAATTAGAAGGTGTGAAGAGAAATGTCCTGTAGCATTGATGGATCTTTCTGTCCACCTCTGTCTCTAGTCTCACTTTACACTTATTTGTGTACCTTCTCTTGGCTTATCTTTTCCCTTCCTTTCTGTTCCTATTACGCACATCCCTGCCTTTGTGTCTGATTTCAGCTGCTCTGTACTGAGGTCAGGGTGATTCCTCTGTCTCTGTGCTGAGTGTGGCTGACGTCTCAGGAGGACTCGTGTTTGCTTTTCAGCTGAGCTCCCGGGGCCGCGGTGGTGCTTGGCGGGCAGACACAGCAGCTGCAGGAGAACTTGCCTGCGCTCGGGTGGGCTCGGAGGCGGGCTGCTCCCGGCAGGCGCCTCGCAGGAAGGGCGTGGGACGACGCGTGTGCCGAGCGCGCCRGAGCTTGGCGAGCGGGGCTGCCACCCTCCACCAGGGCTCCGCTTTGGGGAGCGGGTGCGGCCTCGGTTTGAGTGCCTTGCAGCTTGGCCTGATTTGGGCAGGTTCCCACGGGCCTGCAAAGGGCGCGTGGCGCGCAGCGGTGCCTCTGCCAGGCCGCCAGCCTTGCCGCGAGGCCGGCAGCTTCTGCGTGGCTGGGAAGCTAGGGGTGGAGGGGGCTCATCTTATGTCATGGAGAAAGCTCGTCTTTCCCAGCCTTGGCCTTGGGAATAGCCAAACCGTTGTGGTTGAGTCTTCCCAAGCGTTCGGTTTGAGCCGGCCTTGTAATATGAAGTCAGTTTGATCTAAAATGAGATAAAACCCAATGCAGCAGGGATAAAAAGCCTACAAGACAACTATCTATAGGTGGATTTATCTTTTCATGTTGCTACCTGCTCCACCCCCTACTGAAGTCCATTTGGAAGAGTTAGGATAGACTGTTTTGGCTTGGGCTGCCCGAAGTAGGCAGCCTTGCCTACTGAGGCACGTAGCTTTTTAATTATGTTGATATGTGGCAATTGTCTTGTGGTGACTTGTCTTCTGGCTCCAGCACTGGAGGCCTTTYTTAAATACAGCTTAGAGCCTCGCGCGGGGCGTTCCCCAAAGCCAGCGGCCCCATTGCTGCTCGCAGAGAGGGGTCGGCGGGAGCGGCTCCCCCCAGCCCTGCGTGGCCGCTCACTGAGGGCAGGAGGCTGCTGGGTGCCCAGGAGATACTCACGGCCTCCTCTCCGGAGAAGGTGACACCTCWTTTGCATAATGCTTTAATGCAGCTTACCGGGGATTTGTGGGAACTCCTGGCATAGGAAATATGTGCACTAAAACTGCTAGTGCGAAAGCTGAGAGGTTGGGTTAGGTATCAGAAGTCTAGAGAGGAGAACCTYGAAGTTGGAGGAGCTGCAGATGTGCTCAGTGGCAAGTGCTGCGGCACTGGGGCTCACCTTGGTGCTCTCCTCCTGGAGCCGTTCCACAGGGACAGTGCGGAGCAGCTGGCGGCAGGAGCGGGCGCCCGGGCTTCGGGCTGCGCACGGGAGCTCAGCCTGGCCCCGGCCGCACTCCTCCTCACGCACGAGGCAGCACGTGTTGCTGTAAGCAGGGCTCGAAGTGGAAGATGAAAGAGGAGTGAAGACTGAGAACAGCTGCTGAGCCGGTTCACAGGCTCTCTCAGAAATTGCAGGGAGGATATGCAAATGGGAGCTTCCCGAGGAGTCAGCTTYCCTTGAAAAGGAATTCTTAAGGCAGTTGTGGTGTGGGTAAATGAGGAGGTGGTTAAGACTTGGCTAATAATTGGTATTGCCTGACTTAGATATGTGGTGCAAAGGTGCCCAAGCAGAGTTAATGGTTTAATAGTGTGCTGCTTAGGAAATTATGCTCTATAGAATTATTTGGCCAAATAAAGCAATTAATTACTATTAATCATTTGTCGTAGGAGGGAGAGAGAGGAAGCAGCAGGAAAGAGCTGTTTATACCCCTTACGTTGCTGGAGTTTGTTTTACAGTTTCAGGTGCAATTGCTTACAATAAATATTCGGCCTATGTGTCTGTTAAAAGCAATAGTCCCTGCAGTTCACCGAGCAACTGACAACTGGTCTGTTTGCTAGTGAGTGGAGTGCTGTGGGACTGCCACTGGTTGGCTAATGAAAGACCTAGAAGTCCAGCAGTGGCTTCAAGAAATGGCATGTTCGAGCTACATATTTCACAGTTAAAGTGTTCTAGGAATTATGGGTTATTGCATGTGGATTGTGTTAACCGTTTTGTCTATTCTGTATGCCACACGTCTAGGGAGATGTATGGAGAAATGTCTGAGTTAATGCCAAAGTGACCTGAAAGGTTACACTGTATTTACAGTACGCGATGTAATGCTCAAATGTATTACTTGGTCCTTGTCATCAGTAGGATGTGAAATACAGTATATCTTGTGCTGCACTGCAGAAGAGCCCATGACTATTTTGAAATCTGATTTTTTGGCTTGGTTTGGTTGCTGTTCACAGAACACSCCGAGCCCGTGGCTGCACCAGCCCGCACCGGTGACCTCGGCCGATGGCCTCGGGTTACTGAGTCACATTCCTGTGAGACCGTCCAGCGCAGATCCGCTGCGGCCTCTCAAGCTGACGACGCACTCGAGCCCGCCCCTGCCCAAGAGCATGGCCGAGCATCACAAGGAGTAAGTGGCCTCTGTGTGGTGTTGTCCTTAGCTCGGCTGTGGTTTCGCTGTCACGGCGGCTGCAGTGGGTGATGCGGGAAAACTCGGCAGCGTGCCAGACGGACTTTGCCCCGTGCAGTCTCAGTGCACTTGGGTTCCCAGGTCATCTGAAGAACTAGGAAAAGAGTACCTAACAGAAAGAAAAGTTTATTCTGTGTTAATAGATAACTCTGGAGCAGGGGAAGAAAGGTCCTGTTTAGCCTGTTGCAGTCCAGTCAGACTAAACTGTGTCTGTTTTCCAAACAGAGAACTGGAGAGGAAGGCGTTCATTGAACCTTTACGCTCTGTTACAACCGCGCCCATAAAGACGGAGCTGGAGCCGAGCAGGGCGCAGGCGGCCAAGGAGAGCCACATGCACAGACATTTCACAGATCCCTTGCTGAGCCAGCTGCCCAGGGCTCCACCGGAGACCGGTGAGCGGCTGAGCAAGTACAAGGAAGAACACAGGCGAATACTCCAGGAAAGCATCGAGGTTGCTCCTTTTACCGCTAAAATGAAGGCACTGGAGGGGGAGAGAGAGAACTATTCCAGGGTAACGTCCTTATCTTCAAGTCCCAAAAGCCATTCAGTAAAATATGACAAAGATGCAGAGCGTTCTGTATCAGAACTGTACAAAATGAAGCACTCGGTTCCKCCGAGTTTGCCACAGAGTAACTATTTCACCACCCTGTCTAATAGTGTCGTAAACGAACCACCAAGATCCTACCCGTCCAAGGAAGCTTCTAACGCCTATGTTGATAAGCAGACTAATTGTCCCTCGACTGCAGCGAGTCCCCAGGCTCTCCCTTCGTACATCTCCTCTCTTTCCAAACCTCCCCCTTTAATAAAGCACCAACCGGAGGGCGAAGGCTCTGCAAGCAAGGCAGCTGAGCAGCTTTCGCAGTCAGTGCAGTCTCACTCGGTGGCTTCTTTTAGGAGCGACAGCAGGAGCCCAACTCAGCTGTCAGTGTCATCTTCAAACACACTCCGCAGTATGCCAGCCTTGCACAGAGCCCCCGTGTTCCACCCCCCGGTTCACCAGAACCTGGAGAAGAAGGAAAGCAGCTACAGCAGCCTGTCCCCTCCCACTCTAACTCCTGTTCAACCTGTTAATGCTGGTGGCAGCAAAATCCAGGAATTACAAAAGCCTCCCACTTTAGTACCTGAACCCAAGGAAGCTCAGACAGTTTACAAGGGTGTTTCTGAGCAAAATTTGTCAGAAATGTGGAAGGCTAACAACGCCCCAAACAGTGAAAAAGTGGACTGGCACGCCGAAAGAACGAGTGGAAAGTCGCAGTCGGCGACAGCGTCTGTTATTGTGCGTCCCCCTTCCCGCACGAAACACGAGAGCGCAGCAGTGATGCAGCCACCGGCCAAAGAGCGAGCTAGCGAGCGAGCTTCAGCTGTGACAAATCAAACAGATTGCCCGAAAACAGCGGAAGCCAGAGAGACGGGGAGAGTCATTCTGCCAAATATGAACTCAGACGGCGCTCGCACACACTATGAGAAGAAGTTTCCAGCTGTCTCGCAAGGCAGCCTTGCTAGCGCTGTCGCCCCCGCCACGGCCATGACCTGCAGCACCAAAACGGACGTAACGGCCTCGGCGGCCACCACTACGAGCGTGTCGAGCTGGGGCGCTTCCCAAGTGACCTGCTCGTCATCGAGCGCGGCTGGGGCCTGCGCGCCGCCCGAGGGCGCGAGAGCCAGGACTGCCACGGCCGCGCCGGGCAGCGCCAAGGGCGCCGGCGCCGCGCAGCCCTTCTGCCCCTCCGYCGACTTCGTCCACTTGAAGAAGCACAAGGCGGCGCTGGCCGCGGCGCAGTTCAGGAGTAGCAACGCCAGCGAGGCCGAGGCCAGTGCTGCCAAAAGCCAGACAACTTCAGCCTCGCTCTCCGGGGACGCTGCTATCGTCTGTAATACAATAAACAAAGCAAACTCTGTAGGCAGCGGGCAGACTGCCCAGACGAGTCAGCCAAACTACCACACTAAACTGAAAAAGGCTTGGCTAACAAGACATTCAGAGGAAGATAAAAACACTAATAAAAAAGAGAATTCAGGGAACAGTGTTTCAGAAATTATTAAGCCATGTACTGTCAATTTAATAGCTTCTACATCAAATGATTTGCAAAATAACATAGATAGTAAAATCCTGGCAGAGAAGTTTGTGAAAGAAGATAAGCACCCTAGGAGAAAAGCAAAAAGAACTTAYGAGTCTGGCTCTGAAAGCGGAGACTCCGATGAAAGCGAGAGCAAGTCAGAGCAAAGGACTAAACGGCAGCCCAAGCCGACTTACAAAAAGAAACAAAACGATTTGCAGAAAAAAAAGGGCGATGCAGAGGAAGAAGTAAAACCGAATGGTGTTCTTAGCAGGAGCGCCAAGGAAAAAAGCAAGCTGAAGTTACAGAGCAGCAGTACTGGCAGTGAGTATATTCGCTTGGTTTGCAGAGCATGTTAAACTGATGCGAGCTCTAACAGGGCTAATCCTGGAGGGTTTGTCATGAGAAATAGCTGGGGAAGTAAAGACAGCATGCTCATGAAAATGAGTATGAAATAGGAACCTTGGATTTGTCCATCTTGAGGCTATCTGAAATACTCTGGTTTAAGAAATACAGTTCTTTTGTTTTTACATATGTGTTAACAAAACTATTTCTTGCTCTAAATGTAAACGCTAAATGAAGTGATTGTATCATGCTGGAGGTTGTGCATGTAGCTGTGCTGCCTGTATTGACTCTGAGGGAGAGGTTCTCTATCAGGGAAGTTTAATTCCTGCTGTAATCCCAAGGCCAGGGCAGCTCCTTGATGGCCTGATGCGGCTCTGTTATGATTAGATTAAGTTGGTGAAAGGTCGGAGGGAGAGTTATGTCAGCCCTCAGCTTGCACACCTATCCTATGCTCCTAACATCCCTCTTGTTTTAGGGAATAAAGAACTTCAGGGAAATACCTATTTCATTTTAAATGTTGTAATGCTGTTGCGGGTACAAGATTATAATTAAGTTTTATCTGAGACAGAACTGGTTTAGCAACATGAGGGATTTTAAGAGCTACTTCATTTTTTATCCTAATTTATTCTTCTCTAAGGAGAATTCTTTGGTATTTATTTTGGTTCAGTATGARAGAGTCGACCATTGAATTAGTTTTTGTAGGACTTCAAGTACAGTTAGTAAGAAAATGGGTACTGCTCCCTGTAATTACATTTTTTGGCATTTCAGTACCTGCTATATAAGGCWTACTCTACTAAAGCATCAACTCTGCTAGTATCTTAGGATGCTTGATGCCTAAGGTGTTAGSAGCAGACTGCAGCTGGCAGTGCTGCACTCCGAGGTAGCTTGGCCCTGGCCCAGTGACCATGTATGTATATGGATATTATAACCATGTATGTATAGAGATTTAAAGGAAAAAAAGGGAAGATCAAAGAGCACATGCCTTTGAAATAGAGCTCTAGGTCTTACTTGGCTTCACTTTTTTCAGGTGAAGCGTAGATGTATATACGTACCTGTAGATGTGTATGTGTGTGTAATGTGCTAACCCTGGATGACGTTTGTATTGTCACAGCATATTTTTTATGGGCTTGCTGTAGAAGGACTGATAAGAAAGGGCAGTCGCATGTTTTGTCTAGTGTTACCTGAGTGTAAGAGCAGTATATGGTAGTACTTCACGGTATAGTTTCATGGGATTAGGCCCGGGATTAGGCCYGAAAATGGGCGCCAGGTGTAGCACGTTGTGCTGCAAGTAGCACRGAGTGGTACTGTGCGCCCGGAGACGCGCCTGCCCCGCGGGAGCAGCTCCCAGCAGAACTGCCTCCATGCTTTCTCCTGCTTGGCCCTGCTCACAGGCTACTATTTCTGATGTTCCCATCTGTTTATCTTGGGTGAGCTCTGCTCTAAYCGTTTCTGAGAAAGAGCTGCTCAGAGATGTTCCTATGAACTCGGCTTTCCACAAGGCTGCCTTGGAAGGCGCTCCGAGCTTGGCGCAGCGAGCGGCGGGGAGGCCGCGCGGCGCTCCGCGGGTGGAGGAGGCTGCAGAGCGCCCGGCTCCGGGGAGGCTCCGCGCACGGCTGGCAGCTCCGTGCTGCCGGCATCAAAGCCGCTTTGTCCGCGCGCTGCTCTGCGCTTGCCAGGGCGCACGGAGCTGCTCGCCCCTCTGCCAGGCCAGGAGTGTCCACGTGCTGCCCGCCGGGCTCCAGCACCAGCAGCAYCGAGATGGGTGCCAGGAGCTCTGGTTCCAGGCGGAGAGCGTTTGCTGGACGTGCAGAGCGCTGCTTTGGCCTGCTCCGCTTTCGAGCGTGACTGCGGCCGGCCCCGCACGGCGCCGCTGGGCTGGGAGCGCCGCGCAGCCCTTGGCGAGGCCGCGGGCGGGAGCCTGGCCCCCACGGCCTGGCCAAGGCCCCGCGGCGAAAGGCAGCGCCGGAGCTGCGCGCCGGGTCCCGAGGCAGCAGCGGGTGCCCCGCGCCGCCCCCCGCACACGCGGGCCCTGCTCGCCGCAGGTGGTGCCTGCGTTAGCACCCGCGCGCCCGCCTGTGAAATGCCCGCGTACAGCTACCCCTGTTGCTCCATAGGCCTGCTCCGTAGGCTGCTCCGTGGCAGGCCTGCGCACTTGAACCTCAGAAACAGAGCTTGCTGCTCAGCCTTGCAACGCCGGCAAGCTTGAAAGGGAGTCGAGGGATTTTCTTCTTTTTGGCTGATATTTTGTGTTAAGCGCAGTTGAGTTAAGAGAATTGCTCTTCAGKAATTATATCTCTGTAACCCTTGGCAAAAATAAGTTTTGAAGAAGCAGGACTCTCCTTTCCTCTTTCATTCATTAAATCTTTTGCATACATTTTCACTTTCTTGGGGTGTTGAATTTCTCTACTTGTTTGTTAGAGCGATGTTTTGAAGGTGGTTTTAGCAGAGCATTTGGTAAAGCACTTCACACAAGAGAAAATATTGTRTCCCAAGCATTGTTGGGGCTCAGTAGGTAGTTAAGCACGTATGACTCTACTTGGTAATCACCATATTAGATTTCAGTGCTGAAGGGTGAACAGATGGATGTTGAATGGCTTTGAGAAGGGTTGGATGCTTACTGGTGAAAGTGGGGCTAAATAGAAGGGCATCCCAGTGCTTCCTCTGAAATGATTCTTGTTTTGCAGCTGGCATACCTCGCTCAGTATTAAAAGAYTGGCGCAAAGTAAAGAAGCTGAAGCAAACAGGAGAGTCCTTTTTGCAGGATGATTCTTGCTCTGAAATAGGACCGAATTTGCAAAAATGCAGAGAATGTAGGTTAATAAGAAGTAAGAAAGGTGAAGAATCGACTCACTCACCAGTATTTTGTAGATTTTACTACTTTCGACGGTAAGTACAGCTATCTCCTCATGAGTTTTAGTTTTTGAAAATTATACTGATAGAAGAGTTGCATGTCTGAAAGCTTGTCTCTGTTTTCTGGCTAAACCAGCCTGATGCAGATACTGCCTAATTTATTTAAATTTTATTTATGAATAAAAATTCATAAATTTTATTTATGAATGCTTTTGTGGATCAGCCCTATTGCTGTTTGAAGCTTTATAGCCAGGCCATCGGAAGAGCTGCCCAGTGCACCCCAGGCGAGCAGAACCATTAATGCATGCCCATTAGCAGGTGCCTGCCATCCGGGGAGGGATTTTCCAAAGGCAAGCTGCAGTTATCCCGGGCGAGCCGCAGAACCGCGCTCGTGCGCCGGGGTGCTGTGGGAACGCTGCTCCAGCTCGCCGGAGTGTTCTGAGGACAGGGCAGCTCTGACCTCCTTTCTCACCATTGAGGCCAAGCAAGGAAATTTCGTAATTCAAAAAAAAAAAAAAAAAAAAAAAAAAAAACTATCCCAGAATGCAGCACAGCCTCGGTGGTGCGTGCCGTGCAGCTATGGACGTGGAACAAAACGGCCTCGATTTTCACGTGTGCTCTCTTGCCAACATACATTGAGCCCAGTTTGGACAGGAAATTGCTGTCCCTAGATTGAATTTCATTTCTTTCGAATGAAGCTTTAGTTATGAAACTCTGCAGTCCTTCGGGAATCATTTCAAGTTGGACTCGCCATGCTTTATGCGTAAAAATAGTTGCTTCCAAAAGTGGCAATTTGGTGATATTACGTTTTTAGGTTTTCTTCCTGTGCAAAATGGATAACACCAGTGATAAAGTTTTGCCAAGATTTTAAACACATTCATGGAATTTAAAATTGGGAATGTTTCAAACTTATGGTTATATTTTATAGAGTTGTAATTATTTTCATTGTATTTAGTTAGTAGGGCTTGAATTGCCAATGAGGTTTACACTCTGGTGTACCTTTCTTTAAATGAAWACTTGTAATTTTCTTCTTCTACTTGTTTGTCAAATATATCATACATCTGTATATCATTTTAGAATTTCTTAGTCTTGAATTCAGGACACTAAAACTTTAGTGTATTCCTGTGTTCCATTTCCAGATGGAATAATTAGTTGCTTCTCCTTAAAATAGACTAAATATAGCGGTGAGGGTAGCAGATTGGTGTCCTGTAGGGTCACAYGAAAACCTAGAGCTATTTTAAAGGCGAGAAAGTAAACTGTTAAGAAAATGTTTTGTTAAAACAGTGTGTTCTCATTTTTAGGTTGTCATTCAGTAAGAACGGAGTGGTTAGGATAGATGGTTTCTCCTCTCCTGATCAATATGATGATGAAGCACTGAGTTTATGGACACATGAAAACTATGAAGATGATGAACTGGACCTAGAAACTTCTAAGTACATTTTAGATATGATAGGCGATAAGTTCTGTCAGTTAGTAACATCTGAGAAAACAGCCATGTCCTGGGTGAAGAAAGACGGTAAGAGGCTTTTCAGCGCCGGTGGAGGGGAGGGAGGGAAGGAGGGAGGCCACTTGCGTGCAGGCTCCCAGGCGCAGTGGCCGCAGGAGCTGCTGGGCTGCGGGGCAGGAGACTCCTCTGTGCCCGCAGCGCGGAGCGGTTCTGGTGTTGCTTCAGTCGGGGCTTTCCAGCACTTTAATCTCTGCAGTGGGGTCACCGCGTGGTGCAGCTGCGGGGGTGAGCGCTGAGGGTCTCTTTGTGGAGGAGCACGTTCCTTTCCCTGCCCGTGATTGCTTCAGAGGGGAAAATTATGAAGGCTGCATCTGTACAGATSATTCGTTCTGTGCTTTGCATTTAAATTTCAGTCTTTTAATTCTGCTTATTTTGTATTTCAGCCAAAATCGCATGGAAGAGAGCAGTGAGAGGAGTCCGTGARATGTGTGATGCATGCGAAGCCACATTATTTAACATTCACTGGGTCTGCCAAAAATGTGGATTCGTGGTCTGCCTGGATTGTTATAAGGCAAAGGAAAGGAAAAGCTCGAGAGGTCGGTACTGCAGGAGCCCGCCTGGTCTRTGTGGGGGTGACTGCAGCTCGCGTAGCGCTGCTCGTCCCCGGCCCTTCCTGGCTTTCCTTCCCTAGGCGCTGAGTTGGGTTTGTGGGGTTTGACGTGTCTAGATTTTTTTCACCCTTTTTTTCCAGTCAGTTAGTAGAGCGCTGGTCACTGTTACRGCAAGGGGCTGCTTTAGGTCCTGGTGCTGTGTTCCGTCTCTGTGCGGCTCGTGGTGGGCTGCGCGAGCCCGGCTCCCTCGAGGCGAGATGTGGCTGCCRGTGCGGCTCCCGCAGCTCCCTGCGGAGCTCCCCGCCATCCTCCCGCCAGGAATACCTGGCTGTCCATCCCCACTTAACAGCCTGCCTTTTAATAATAAAAACATTAGAATTGAAAAATACTTTACACTGTACTTAAAATGAGTGTTGGGGARGTTTTAAAATCCCCCAGGTTACATATGTGCTTAGTGTAGTCGGATTCGTGTACTGCATTAGAAATGCCTGGTGCAGACCGTGCGGGAGTAGAGCAGGAGCTCGTGGAACACGTGGGGTTTTGTGGTGAGCAGCCTGGCGGCCGAGGTGGGGCCTGCCAGGAGCGGGTGGCTGAGCCCGCGCYGGCAGCGCCTCCGCTGCGAGGGGGCCTGGCAAAGCCCCTCAGCGTTGGCCACAGCCCCGCACAGCGTGGCCTCTGTGGAGCGGGGGCAAAGCCGAGGGGCCGGGGCACGGCAWGTCCCGCATCCACGGAGAAACTCGCACCCGCTCCCTCCCTTGGCTTGGAGCGAGAGGCCTCCCACTCTGTGGTTCTGGGACGTTCCCAAGCCTTTCATGTGAGCCCAAGTTCCTGGGAAGGAGCGTTGGTGTTTTCCGGCACTGAGAGCAGGCACGGGTGCTTCAGTGCTGGAGGCTGCTGCAGCCGCCCCGAACCGGCTCGGGGCTGCGAGCCTGTGTGTCTGTCTGACGTGGCTTGGGATGCGCTCCCAACATCGCTTACCCTACTGGGAACAGGCAGCCAGAGCCTTTTTATAGCGTGTGGTTCATCCGGCCAGGAAAGTTTTAGTAAAATGTGCTCCAAGTTGCAGAAGGCGGGATCCGGAGGCTGGAGGCCTCTAGCAGAGAGGGCTCCCTCCTGGCCTCCCGCCGCCGCAGCGCGGGCGGGAGCAGGCCCGGGGCGACGCTGCCGCTCTGCAGCGCGCCGCGGGTTCAGCCACCCACCCCKTCCTATAGAGTACCCTTTATGTGACACCATTTTTCCTGCAACGGCTGCTTGTTTTTATGGCTGCTAAATGTAATGGAGAAAACATTCATTTCCCAGTGGTTCAGAAGGAATGTTAGACATTTAAATATTCAGTGTTCGGTATTTCTCTGTGATTTTTTGCATTGCTTCTTCCATTGTTACTTTCAGGCAGCTTCTGGCACCATCAAGTGGAGTGCAATTTTATGGCATTTTATTGGTAAAAATACATTAAATAGATCACTCCTGATTGATTTGTGTTTATATTTGGTTACGTGCTTAATGTCTTGTGAGTTATGCAAGCTGCAAAACAGCTAAGGCCTCCTGTTTGAGAGGAACATTTGGTACGTTGTGTCTGTGGCAGTGCAGGAGGGCTGTAGATGTGCTGAATGCTCCCTTTAGTCTGCCGCCTTCAGCTCRTGGTGCTAGAGCTGAGAAAAGTGGTGCAAAGAGGTGAAGAGCCTCTCAAAAGCAGCAGTTGAGTTCCGTGGGTGCTGAGTCAGAGTGGGAAACGAGAGCAGGTTGCATTCCTGTTCCCCAGTGCCACTGCAGTTCGGTGGCCAGGTRCTTGGCCAGACAAAAAGAAAAGAAAGCTAAAAATAACCAAAACAAGGCAACTAGAGCTGTATCTTCATAGGTAATAAAGTTTCAGTGAAAGGTAAATGATGGGCAATGCTTTTTTGCAGACAAGGAGCTCTATGCCTGGATGAAGTGTGTGAAGGGGCAGCCTCATGATCACAAACACTTGATGCCAACTCAGATTATTCCTGGCTCTGGTAAGACCTCTACAAACAAGCAGGATGTCGCGTGTCCCCCCAGGTCTTTCTGTAAAGAGAGACCAGAGCTGTTTCTTAAAACTTCTCATATCTGAAGTTTAATTTTGTATGTGTCCTCTTCCTCCCCCCACCAAGAGCAGTTTTGGTTGCATATCTGATTGACCGCTTGAATGSAAAAGGCAGAAAAGAAGATAGCAGTTAATCAAAACTAGACAGCAATCCTAAACCCATCAGAACTTTGCTTATGTGAAGAAATACTCCTGCGTTTGTTCTGTTAGCCCAGCTTTACTTGTGATCTCTAATAGCATTAATGCAGGACAGAGAAAGAAAGCCTGAATGTGCCTTTAATCCTAGCAGGTGAATTTCCAGGTTATTTTAATTGGAAATACAGACACAGCCAGTATTTTATGGTTTGTTTCATGTTACTTCAGGTAGAAATGAAGGTTGGCTAGACTCCCTAGGAAATTCAGACTGTGATTTCCACAGAACAGGTTCCCCCCGAAACTGTTTTTAATTACAAATTGTGAAGTGAACCACTCGCCTGGAAACAGCGCGGCGAGGGCTGCCTGCGCAACCTGCGTTGTGTTCTTTTGTTCCTGTCCGGTGCCAAACTGCCTTGAATTACCTGATCACATCCTGATTTTTCAAGTCAAGCCATGGCTCACTTCAGTCTGTGTGTAACAGTGTTATTAAAGGAGGCAGTGAGGCACCCGTTGAACAATGGGGCGTAAAGTAAATAATGAATAACTGGCTTGCTTGTTGTGTACCATCAAATGGGGATGCTGAGTAAAGTCTAGAATATTCCAAAAGCCTAGCAGGTAATTATTTAATTAAAGACTTCATCTCTTTCTGCACAAGCTTGAAGGTAAAGCAGAGAGTCCTTGGTATTTTTGAAGTGTTAAATTAGGCATTATTAATAGCTGAAATTTCCAAAAGACTTACAAATAACTTTTTAGCACTGTAGTATTTACACTGTGAAGAAAGCCAAAAAATGATTGACAAGAGAATTACTGATTATTTTCTTCTTGAATGTCTTCTAGTTTTGACAGATCTTCTAGATGCAATGCATAATATTAGAGAAAAATTTGAAATTAAATCCCATTGTCAGTGTACCGCCAAACAGAGCATGCAAGCTGGCAAGCTCCCTGCAGTGAATGGCGTATCTCAGGTGAGCTTAAAATGTGTGTGTAAACTGTAATTTGTTAYTACATCTTCTGGTGCTTATGTATTTTTATATTTGAATAGTATCAGTCATATGTTAAATAGCATATACAGCGATTAAATGCTGCCTGTGCCTTTTGTTGGAGCAAAATGGCATACTCCTAAAAAATGAACTGTTCTTTCCAGGTCTTACAGAATGTCCTCAATCACAGTAATAAAATCTCCCTGTGTATGCCTGAGTCTCAGCAGCAGAGCTCCCCACCAAAGTCCGAGGCCAACGGCAACTCCAGCCCGAGGAGCGACGCGAGCACGGACAGCAAGCTCACCCCGCCGGAGTCGCAGTCGCCGCTGCACTGGTTAGCTGATCTGGCTGAGCAGAAAGCCAGAGAAGAAAAGAAAGGTGCGTGTTGGACGCTCACGTATCACGTGCGTGATTTGGGGGGCCATCAGTRATATGGAAATGAACACCTTAGGAAAAATCCATGGTATTTGCTGCTTAGCCAAAAGTAAAGAAAATGCTCTTTCTCCCCTTAATTTGTTTTGAAATTTCAACACCTTTTCCTGGTGGCATGAAAATCCCTTACCAGCAGAGCCACTAGTAGAATGCATGTGTAGTGTGGCAGTACTTGCAGCTAGAGCATCTCTCAGTTGTGACAGGTACTCCCTCAGCTGCATGTCTGAGATGCTGAGGAAGACCTGTTCATGGTCACATCTTTGACTGCATTTTGCAGGATCTAGTTCATCCTCTGGTGTTATTCCAGGTGAATAAAGTGCTAGTGCTACAGTACATTGCTGCCACTATAAGATGCAGGGGGCCAGTGCTGTTCCTACATTTTAAGACATGATACAACAGTGTAACCTTTCCCATTGTTATTTTTGTTTTAGAGAATAAAGAGTGTCCTTCTGGAAAACATTCAAAGGAAGAAAAAGATCAGGATAATTTAGAGTCCCCAAACTGTAAATCCTCCCCTCCTGCGTCCCAGAACAATGAGCAGGGCTCAACCTTACGAGATTTACTAACTACAACAGCAGGCAAACTACGCCTCGGTTCTACAGATGCGGGTATTGCTTTTGCTCCAGTTTACTCCACAGGAACACCCGTGAGTGTTATCAGATGCATCATTTTCATATTGGGATTTTTAAAATCTGTATTGTGTGTTTTTGTATATGTTAGCTGCACTAAATACTAATGTAGAAGTAAAACCTCACTGCAGCTTCCTTGAAGGATTCAGTATATTTGTACATGCTTGCACACACACATACACGTGTGTATCCATTAACATGTATATATGTTCATATATATGTATTATATGCAGGCACAAATACATATATATTTACATATAATTAGTAGTAATTGATACATATTATGAAGAATATGTCATGAAGTTAAATAAACCGGTCAACAGTGTAAAGGAAGATTGCAGTATATCAGGTTTTATTGCAACGGTAATTTGTTCTGCCTTAGAATGCATGTGGTTTTCTATGAAGGAAATAGGTAACTGAAAACTGATAATGCAGTGGTGTTGATATTCTTTTGAAGAAAGTATACCATTAACTTTATTTGCTTTTACATTATTTAAACATACATTTGTTTGTTTTCTATTAGAGTGGGAAAAGCGGAAGGACCATGCCAAACATTCTTGATGACATAATTGCTTCAGTGGTAGAAAACAAGATTCCACCAAACAGGACACCAAAGATGAATGTAAAATCTGAAATAAAAGATGAGCCAAAGGAGGATAGAAAGTGTATTCTAGATGACAGCACTAAATTGTACAATGATATTCAGTATTCTTGGATCTGTGATAAGCACGTGCTGTGGCTCAGAGACCATAAAAACAGCAACAACTGGAAGCTCTTCAAAGAGTGCTGGAAACAAGGGAGGGTAGGTATCGGAGACTAATCCTCTCTAGAGGGTGACGACCGCAGCACGAACTCCAGAGCAGTTACTGCAAGAGGACAAAGTTTGCCTGACTTCACAGTTAAGAATGGGTCCTTAATGCATTTTATTGCAGCGGGCAAAAATTTGCCAGGAAAATGCCACATAAGAGCTTGGCTAATTAATTTAAATTAATTGCTAAGAATGGGTAAGATATGGATGTTAAAGGCTAAATCATTTAAAAAGTTGTGAAGTCGCTGGGTATGGTTGCTGTTACTAGAAGTGTTGTTAGCAGCTCAGGAGGGCCAAGGCCTTCTCTGCATGGTTCAGATACTTCTTACATTCAATTTAATTGAAGCAAGCCTTTCATTCAGGAAGGATGACTGTTAATTTGTATTTATTTATTTATTTAAAGCCTGTATTAGTGTCCGGCATGCATAAGAAAATGAACTTCAGCTTGTGGAAAGCAGAGTCAATTAGTCTGGATTTTGGAAACCAGCAAGCTGATATCTTGAATTGCAAAGACAGCATTATTTCAAACGCCAATGTCAAGGAGTTCTGGGATGGTTTTGAAGATGTTTCAAGTAAGTTGCTTTGAATGTGTTATTCTTTTGATTCTAAACATGGTCAATGTCAGAAAATGCAATTAAAATTTTTCTTCATAGATCTGAGAGCTTCAAAGATTTTTTTTTTTTTAGAACTCTATATAATGTATTTCAAGACAGTGTATTGAAAACTTCCTTTTTGTACCTCTGTGGAGTTAAACATAAACTAATATACCATTTTGTAAGTTATTCCAGACTTATAAACCAAATGAATGTCATTTTCTTAACTACTTGTGATTTTGTCTCCTAATTGAATTTCTTTAAATTAATAATCTTTTCTTCTGTGTATGAGATCTTTATAAAAAGGTTAGAGTTCAGCTCAACATTATAGTGGGATCTAACATCTGGAGTGTATTAGTTCTTAATAATTTATATGTTACTTGCAGAACGGCAGAAAATAAAAAATGGGGAAACAGCTCTACTAAAATTGAAAGATTGGCCTTCTGGTGAAGATTTCAAGGCTATGATGCCAGCAAGGTATTTGCATTTAAGATTCAGATATTCTTAAGGTCATCTCTATATTGTTTTTTTCTCTCTCCATAGTGACATAAATTCAGTTGTAGTCTCCTGCCTTTTCCCCCACAGATATGAAGACTTATTAAAAAGCTTACCTTTGCCCGAGTATTGCAGTCCAGAAGGAAAATTAAACTTGGCCTCTCATCTGCCAGGATTTTTTGTCCGTCCGGATTTGGGACCCAGACTTTGCAGTGCCTACGGTGAGTATGCCCTGGAGATGGAGCCGTTGCCTCTTCCCTTGGAGTTGTAGTGTATCGTGTGTTACTGCTTGCTAAAAACTGAGCTGAGGAGGAGGATTATTAGTGGCTGAATGTAGGAGAAAAACCCTTTACTACCTGGCTTACATGTCACTGAAGCAGGAGATAGACCTATTTTTGCGTTTCACTTTGTCTTTGCTAGTGCTACTGTTACATTCTTTTGAAGCATGTAGATGAGTGGTTATTTATATACATATATAGTTCGTGTATTAATAACAGTATGTGGCAAAATATGTCATAAGTACTGGTATGTTCATAAGTCCGATAATAAAGAAAAAACAGCGCTTTTTTCTTGTAATTTTTTCTCCTGTGTTGTTTTGTTTAGTGTTCAAAATGCTGTCTAGGCCAGTCTGCTTTCCTGAGACCTTTTCCAGCTGCTCCTYCTTCTGCAAACAAATTCGTTCAGTGGTGTTTTACAAATCGTCTTAATAGCACAAGAAATGAGTTGTAATTTCTGGTGTTGATGGCTTTGATTTAAAAAGTTTTCCAGATGTCTTCTGAAGTAAACATAATAAAGATAGTAGTCAAGATGTGGGTCTGAGAAACTCAATCTCCAGTGACCCTTATATGTAATGCTGCTGTACCACTTAGTGTCCTGAAATGTGCTTTTGACATGTTATGACATGTTTTGACTCCTTGACGTGTGTTTTTTTTCATGTCAGAACTAAAATTACCATATTTTTCTCTTTGCTTGAGGATTTCTTATAGTGATGAACTCTGTTTATACTCAGTAATAAAATGACAAAATTGATTTGATTTKATTTCCTTATTTATTCATTTTACTTATATTCTGCTCTGATCAACCTGAAAGGTAGAAAAGTTCAGAAGGAAAGCTGTTGATGTCAGGAAATGTCTTTGATTATTCTGCTCAAATGTGTTTTATTTTGATAAGACAGCTATGTAGGGACATTTGTCTGGATGGAGAGATATCTCAAAAAGTACAAAAAGTCTCTCAAAAGTACAGCAAAAACTCACTTGTGGTTTGTGAATATCATTATTTTTACAATACAGCATGCCTGCACACATTTTTTTCTGTGTAATTCTTAAACTTGCAGAAATTTCTTTTCAGTTAGTTGCAGCACATTTCTGTTTGAAGGTGAACGTGTGATTGCGTGGATTTCARTTTTACCCCAAATTTTTATCTTGCAACATAGGTGTGGCTGCTACTAAAGATCATGATATAGGAACTACAAATCTCCATGTTGAAGTTTCCGATGTAGTGAACATCCTTGTTTACGTTGGCATAGCAAAAGGAAACGGAGTCCTTTCCAAATCAGGTAAAGGGAAGCTCCTTGAGGGAGATGGAAATATTGAATGACGTGTCGCTTTCTGAATGGATGCTGCTTGCTTGAAATGTGCGTGTTGAACGTGTCCTTAAGTACTTCCTTATATCTCAGAGATTCCTTATCTCAAGAGAGATTCTCACACACAAATTAATTGTTCATAGCATACATGGAGTTCAGGAGTTACACAACTGCATTTCAAACTCCATTCTTTTCTTTTTTGTTGCTGTGGCCTGTCATTAATACCCCAGTGCTATGTGGAAGCTGGCAGAGCTAATGGAAGTACAGGACGAAGGATCTTCCTTGGAAGCTGTGCTAAGTCCAACAGCTTTGTCAGGATGATGAATTTGCCATAGCCTGTGTTTAGTCTGCTGCCTCTCGATGTGCAGTTTGTTCTGTTTTGAATTTGAACTGCAGTGTAATTTYCAGTACTGGAGAGAGTAAACTGGTGTGTACTAGTCCTCTGCATTTGGTTTATTGCTTATATGAAAAAGCCTTTAAATCACTGAAGCTGTTCTGTTTACTTTTTGTTGTAGTTTCTGCTTGAATTCCATAATGAGCAAATGTAGATTTTTGCATATATCTCATAGAGCTCCAGTAGGGTTTGCCATCTTTCACCYGCTGTGTTTTCACTTGCACAGAGTTAGTACCAGCCAAAGCTGCAGTGAATCAGGAGAGCCCTCAAGTTCCTTGACCAGCTGCTGCAGAACAGCAAGCAGAATGAGGCTTTTGCTGACTGCAGAAAAAGACCATTATCCTCTCCTGACTTCTTGCTGCCTGTCCTGCTTGTTTATTCCAGGCAGGAGAATGCATTCTGTCAAATTCAAGAAACTTTAAAAAACAAAACACAAACGAAAATTTAACATTGTTTTAAAAATACTTCAGTATTCGTGTTGTCTTAATGTCCTAAATTTAAAACCTGAACAAAAAGATCATCTGAGGTGCTTATTTTTGGTAGTAAACATTTTATCTGCTTATCTGCACAAAAAGTTTGCAAAGAACATACATCATTGCAGTTTTTTTCTCTGTACTGCTTCTTAAAAATATTTTTGTTAAATCTTAGGAGTATTGAAGAAGTTTGAAGAAGAAGATTTGGATGATCTTTTAAGGAAGAGATTGAAAGATTCAAGTGAATTACCTGGTGCTTTGTGGCACATTTATGCTGGCAAAGATGCTGACAAGATAAGGGAGTTTCTGCAAAAGGTTAGATTTGTAACAGATGTTCATTTATATTATTTAAATAATCATTTAAAGGTGGGGTCGGGCAAAAAGTCCTCCTGTCCTACATCAACCTGTGTGTTCTGGTGACCACAACTGGCTAAATTTAGGAATTATGATGAATAATACCATCTAGACCCTGTGAGGAAAAACCTTGCCCCATGATTTGGAGAGAAGAGCAGATAACTCTGTGTTTCAGGAAGAATCTGGCAGAATTTCATTCTTCTGATGAACCCTGTCAGTAATTCTTTCTTTAATATGATGTGCTGCGTTCTGCCTGAGAAACTTGTTTCCCTCTTGGCGTTGAAACGGTAAAGCAGAACCTGAGGGCTGGTTATATTTGGGTTAGAAAAGAAGATTCTTCCTGCATGAAAAGCCTTTGGTGATCCTRTATATGAAAGCCCTTGAAAAAAGCGAACCTATAAGTCCTGTTTTAAATGCTGTAATTTCTATGGAATAGATGGTCTTTATAATGGTGTATAATGGTTTATATGGTCTGTATACTTAGCTAAAGATTCCTAAGAGTTCTCTGGACATTAAAGAATTAGACTTGCCAGTTGTGATGGGATCTATGATGTTTCCAGTGTAAATGGACATATTTTATGAGGTGAAATTTGTGACTTGTATTTTTTGCAGACAGTACCATAGCCAAAAGAATAGACAGGAGACATTTTTCTTTGCAAACCTGACTTTTTTTTTAATTAGAATAAAACTTCCATACTGCATACTTAGCTCTGATCTAAAATCTACTGAAAGGAAATTCTCTTATGCTCAGAAGATATAAACTGAGAAAACCAGCATTGTGGATGGGAATCATACAGGGTCTATCCTGAAAGCAGGTGTTAGCTTTATCCCAGAATTGTTTCAGAGTGCCAGTGAATGTTAATTCTTGCTAATCTAAGCCAGGGTTTGCTAATCTAAACCTGGCTAAACCAGGGCTTAGCCAACTGTGGATGGCTACTGAATTTATTACTGTTGTGCAAAACGCACATCATTCCTCTCGTGGACACTGGTGAGTACGGATGTGTGGCAGTAAGATGCTCTGAYGGGTACTTTTCTTTTCCTCCCTGAATGCCAAGCCACATGAGTCGACAAACACGGTACTTCATGCACTGAGCTATAAAAGCTACAGGGAGTCTCCAATTCTTAATAATTCAGGAGAATGTGCAGATCTAGCCCTGTTCTTTCTAATACAAAGGATGATGCTCCCCTGTCGCTGCTGAAGATTAGCGTCACTGACACAACTTCATTTGTGTGTCCTTGTAGTCTTTGCTGTCCAGGTGCGTGCTTGTGTTATCACACCCTGAGAAATACTAGTGGCTTTTTAATCACATGCCAAAATTTAAAAAAAAAAAAAAAAAAAACAGCTGCCTATTTTTATACTTTCATTTGGTACCACATTGGTTAGCTCCAGTGAAGAAGGTGCCTTGTCTCCTCATGAGGATGAAAGCCGTGGGGAGAGGGTCCCAGGGGCACAGTTCAGCGTCAGCTGCTGTGCCCATTGTGGCTACACAGAACGTGTGGATGTCTGAGTTCACCCCTTGTCAAGCAGGGGAAGCGGCCTCCTCTGGGCTCTTGGCAGTCATCAACAACATTAACTTCAGAGGCATCTCTGGCTTAGTTTCCCATGTCCTGATTATCACTTTTTCATGTTCAAAAAAGCAGTCTCAAYATATTACCTATACATACCCAAAAAAGCACTGAAGTTTCTACTGTGGGAACATTTTACATGCACTTTAACTAGCTAAAGAACAGTAAACAAGCTGGTGGCTAATGTGACTTCCACGAGCAGGAAGGATGTAAGAAAAGCCGCAGGCCACTCGCAGGCAAGAACATGATTCAGGGTTTCACAGCACTTAGAGCACACTGAGAGACTCACAGGGCAGCAGGATAAAAACAAAAAGAAGCCTTTTAAGATGCTCTGTAATTAGCTTTGCATTTGCTGTCACAGCTTGCTGCGGTAGCTAAAACTGAGTTGAGTGCCATCTTTTGCTTTTGGTGCGGTGGTGTTTCTGCAGTACTGAAATGGAGGTGAATTGATGGCTTGAAATACAGAGTTATGATTCGTGTAGTCGCAGGGTCCCACTTGGCCTCCTGGTAAGAGGTCAAATCCCGGTATTTTTTCTAGTGCAGAGTTCCTGAAACTGTTTTTATGTATTAATTACCTTTCCAAGTTCTGCATCAGATAATGTATTTAACATAAATATGAAGAAAAATCTGTGTCGTTCCTGAGACAGTTGTTTCCTGAATTGTGACAGATGGTTTGATATTTTTTTCTCCTGTAGTCATGGTGGTTCAGTAATTAGCAAGTGATTGGGAYTAATGTTTGTTCCCTTGTGATTGATGTAATGGGGAATGGTTGTTGCAGTTAAGTCTGTTGCTCTCTCAGGAATTATTTTTAGTTCTCCATCATATTTTCTAAATTCCTTGCCACGTGGGTAGCAAAATAAGCCACAAACAACTTTTAGTGTTAGCTGCTGCCTTTGTCCCGAGCAGAGGCTGCAGTTGGGGCTGTGTCAAAGCTGGAGGTTTTAAGCTCGAGGAACTGGCAGCATGAGAGCCCTGTGAGCAGATGCTGCTTCTGATGGAAGAGGCCACAGAGGGAGAGCATGTTGCCTGCTAGTAGACTGTCATGCTGAAATCTTTAAGGATGTTGCTGCTTTTCTGGCATGGAAGTCCTGCAGATATCTTCTCTTCAATGGGACTTCTTAATTCCTTTGAGATCCTTCTGAATTCCTAACAAAAATTCTARCTGAGGGAGTAGAAGCAAAGGACTATGTATTTTTAACTTGGCTATATGTTTAATTTATCAGAAAGGGATTATCTTTTTTTAAAAGTAACTTGGAATCTTTCCTGTACTTACAGATAGCAAAGGAACAAGGCCTAGAAGTTCTACCAGAGCATGATCCAATACGTGATCAGAGTTGGTATGTGAACAAAAAACTCCGCCAAAGACTCTTTGAAGAATATGGAGTAAAAACCTGTACGGTTATTCAGTTTCTTGGTGATGCGATTATTCTACCAGCAGGAGCACTTCATCAGGTAAAAAACATCTGTTCAAAACCATACAGGGTTGAATAACAGACATGTAACAATAGCCTGAAGTACATGCTACATCTGCTCAAATTATAGATTTGGTTTTCTTAGCGATTAGAGTATAGAAATATATTACAATGTACAAGGGCTTCTACAAATGACTATCTGGTTTTAACATACAGAAATTCAAATACTTGAAATAGTGCCATTTCCTATTTCTTAGAAAAGTAATTGGACAACTATTAACTATTTTTTCTTTGTCTGCGTATTATTAGCAAATTACTGGATAAAATGGTATTAGTCAGGACGAAGCTGCACTTGCACTTTTTCTTTCAAACTTCGGATTTAACTTAGGGGGGCAGGAGGGCAGCAAACCAACAAATAATTGGATGTCAGGTATTGTCATGTTCGTTGCCGTTAATCATTGGAGAGTTACAGAGAAAGCTTGGGGCTAATTAGTAGGGTGCTTCTTTGGCAAAGGTATGCAGGTTGTTTCCTGGAAAGAAACAGTAAGTTTGTTTTTGCAGAGCGGGTGGTAGACGAGTGGCCAGAAGGCAGCCCTCCCTGCAGCCGGCCCTGCGGCACCCAGGCTCGCGCTGCTCRCAGCTCCGCCTGGAAAGCGCCCGGCCAGCAGCTCCGGAGGAACAGCAGGAATTGTGTAGCCAGCCTTGGTTCTCCCCTAGCACACAGGCTTTGGTTTTTCATTTGAGTTTTTTATCTCCCTGTCTGCAAATTGTTTTCTTTTTTGGTAGAAAGAGGAAAAAAGCATGGATGTTTAGACAACATTTTTAAACAGTTTTAAATCATATGGTGCTTTTTTTTTCCTGTAGAAGCAGGAAATGGAGGCTGCTTTCTTGCAGTCTTGCCAGCTGTCTCATGCAGCATTAATTAGGGAGCTGACTCTGGAGGAGTGAGGAGCGTGTCCACCCTGCTGCAGGGCCTGCAAGCCATCCTGCTGGGGAAGGTTCATCCCCGCTGTGCGCTCGGGTTCAGGCAAGGCAAGGGCTTTCCAAGGCAGAGCCTGTTTGGTCTGTGATGTGCCAGATCAGCTTGCCAACAGCAGCTCTGCGGGGCAGGGGAGCCCCGGCTTTACCGTGTCACCCTGACCRGGGCAGCGGGGAGGAGCACGGCTGGCTCCTTCTGGTGACACGTGTAAAGACCCTGATGTGTCTGCTGGCTCTGACAGTTACTTGGACACTCCCAGCAACGAATACTTGATCCTTCTTTATCCTAACCTTACCCAGACTAGACTCCTTTGTCATTCCTTTGTGTGTCTTGAGGCAGATTTCACATGACGAYGGTGTGTTCACCCTGCATGATCTGGGGAGATTTCTTTTCAGCAAAAGAAGCAATTAACCACATCTGGGGTTGTTGGAGGTTGCCCTTCCTCATACCATGTCCTTGGGGCTTTACTCTTTCCCTATAAAAAGGTGRAGGAGTATCTGGCATTGATGATGTTCTCAGCTCTTGTCAGGCTTAAGCAATTCCCAGGGTGGGTAGGATTTGTGTTGCACTCTGCATTAGCCTCACTCAGATCTCCTAGAACAAGGGAAATCATCCAAGATACAGGAGAGAAAGGGGAGCCCTCAGAAAAGTACAAACATACTGGGAAAATAGTTTGATGTAGCATGAGGCTTTAGCTAGAACTGCAGGCTATGACACATGGAGCAGTGCCAGTGCCACAGGTCTGTAGGCTTCCCTGCAATTCATAGGTCTGAGGACCAAAAATAAGACCATTGTTATCTTTATCTCATTGGCTCTGAACTCGCAATTGCTTTTGAAGTGGTAATGTTCTAGCTTCTGGCACCAAGGAGTTAATGACAGTGTCTTAAACCTTAGTGGCTGAAGCTGAAAAGCCTTTCATCTTCAGTAAAAAGTTCCTGTGAATTTGCCACGTAGGAGGAAATGAAAGCTTCGTGCTCTTTCATGTGCATGTACAGTGCTCCTTATATAGAGATGCATAAATATTGACCTTAGGGATCAGCACCAAGCCCTTATATATACAAAACATGCTTAAACACTTAAAAATATGTCTGAACAAGAATGCACACAAGGTTGCATGTTAACATGGTTTACATGTTAAGCATTTCAGTTTCATATGCACATCGTTACCCTAAAGCTGAGGCAAATGAATACTAAATTTTACTCATTTTTAACATTTCTWTTTGCTCCCTGGTAACGTGCTGGGATGCAGGAAGCAAGTGAGGCCGGCATGCGGAATCGGGAGCCGTGTTGCCGGTGGCGGCTGTGAACGCACCCGAGCTGAGCAGCTTTCCCTGAAGCCAGCTACGTTGCTGCCTCCCCTTGCCTTGGACAGGCTGCTCGGAAGTTGTAGCACTCTAGCACTGCAGAGGGCTCTGTCMAAATACTCCTTTTTTTCCCAGCTTCTGTGTACTCCTGTCTGGTCAACCCGGGTCTTGGTCTTTCTCTTGTAAGACGGAGCCCGCCGTGCTCCCTGGCTGGAAAAGGTGGCTCGGATGCTGTTCCTGGGAGCGCTGCGCGCTGTTCGGAGCACAGTCCTCGCACTCGGTGTCCTCAGCAGTTCCCAGGACTTTGTAGCTTAAATGTTAGGGATTGCAAAGCACTCCAAATAAGAACTTCTTTAATGTTTTTTTTAAAGAGCTCCTTTAAGTTTTTGTTCCAGGTATTATTTCCCGGTGTTTGCCACACTGTAAAGGGAATAGAGGGCCTGCCATGATCTTAATCCAGTGATTACTTCTCATCCAAATTCTAAAAATACCTTTTTAGAGGCGGGGAGGGAGGCCTGAGGGCCGCAGGCGGAGYGGAGCGGGAGGGAGGCCGGGGCTGAGGCCCTGGGAATGGCCCCTGTGCCGGCTGCGGACAGAGGCGGCCCCGGACCCACTGGCCGCCTGCGTCTCCATCTGCCTCCATCACTGCTCTGATGAACCCGCAGGGGACCTGCTGCTTCGTGCCCCTTGTTAGTGACTGTTGTCTGACACCTCATGGTACCGAGCTACTTGTGAAGTGATAACAGGCCCAGCTAAACAGTGTTTTTGGAGGAAAAAAAAWCAGTGCTGTTTTCAAATGTGTAAACACAAAAACTCTGTTGTGCCTCTCACACCACATTGGAAACGTTAGACCRTGCATTGAAACATTCTGGATTTTGTTCAGTGTCATCTTGAAAACGCAGGACTTGACAGGTAGCGAGTGTTGGGGAACTGCACGTTGATAAGATGGTGACGGCAGCTCCTCGCCACCCCAGGAGCTGTGGTCCCTTGGCAGAATTGGGGTTGCACAAATCTGGGAAAAGGTTTTGTGCACTATGCTCAGGAGAATGTATAATCATAAAGGTTTAGTAGGGAAAACATTTCTAATGGTGATACGGAGATCACAGTCGGAAGGTCCCAGCTAAGCGTTTGCTCCTTTCTCTTGCCATCCCCCGGCAACCCAGGGGGCTGGACGTGGTGTCTGTTTTTCTCCTTAGCTGCCTCTCATCCATGAAGGAAGCGCTGGGGACACGGAAGGGCAGCTCTCCACCTGAGCCCATCACCGGGAGCAGGCCCGTGGCCTCACATACCCGGAGTGGCTGTGGCGTGAGACCTGCACAGGCTCCCCTTAGTCTGACAAGCCCGTGGTGTGGGAGGTCTGGAGGCCCTCTCCAGCTAAGAATAAGCTCCAAGCATTAATTCTCAGTCTTTTCTTGGTCTTGTTTTGGATAGGTGCAGAATTTTCACAGCTGTGTTCACGTAACCGAAGACTTTGTGTCTCCCGAACACCTCGTACAGTCATTCCACCTGACGCAGGAACTGAGGCTGTCGAAGGAGGAGATCAATTACGATGATAAACTGCAGGTAGGAGCCAAGGTGCGCGGGAGGGCCGCGCTCGGCTCGCTGCCCTGCACTGCGGCGCGCGGAGCTGCTCCCGCCTCGCGGGAATGGCTTATTTTCACGTTGTGAAAATTCACATTGTGGCTTATTTTCACATCTCCTTACTGAAAATGTATCTGGTATTTTTGCAGGTTAAAAATATCTTGTATCACGCGGTTAAAGAAATGGTGAGAGCTTTGAAGATTCATGAAAGTGAAATGGAGGACATGGAAGAAAGCTAAGTGCTCTCAACCTTTCTGTGTGACCATCAAGTGGAGGTTATTTTTCTAATATATGAGCAGTATGCACACTAATTTAAGCTTCACAAACCATCAGTGCCAAGAGAATAGTCATCGTATTTACTTGTTAATGACACTGCAACGGTAGAGCTTCATATCACAGCCACTGTGATTACATGTTAGACTTTAACAAACAAGCAGCCTTCTGCTGTCTCCTGTATTATAATGTATATGAAGTTTGTGAAATGTCAAAGATTTAAGATGATGTATTTATTTTTGGAAAAAAAAACACAAAATTCTATGCTATATTGTTGATCAAATGTAAATGTGACTTGTACAGTTTGCTAAACTAATTCAGATATTTTTCACTACATTGAGACAGTTACTGTGAGAGTAGGACACAAACACCAGCTATTGCCTGCATTTGGGATCTTGCTGAGTCCGCACAGCAGTCATGTCATAATCTGAAAATTACTGCCAAATAATTGTAAACTTTGTAAAATATAAAGTATATAAAGTAGATATTAAATACAGACACTTCAGTATTTTATTGAAGCTATTCAGTGTACAATTAAACGTTTTCAAAAGGTGTAATTTATTTAAAAATTGTCTCATTTTGGTAAAATTTATGTGAACTTTTAAAGCTAAATATTAAACTTAATATGCTATGTAAATATATACATATATACATTCAATGATGTATTTTTTTAAAACATTGGCTTGCTTTAATTTGTTAAAAGTGCAAGTGTTACACATGCTTTGTACATTGAAGTTGAAAGGGGTTTTACATTTTCCATTAAAATGACTTTATCAAATGTTGTCTCATTGTGTTCGTTTTTTATGTTTGTGGCACATTTGTGGTAGCCCGAGTTGTTCGTTCACAGTAACTGCAAATGCATCTGCTTTAGTGTCGCTTGTTGTAACGCTTGAAATGTTCTGCCTTGGTTCATGTGCACCGGTCTGCCCTCTCCGGGCCTCCGAGGAAACTGCTAAGGGAAGTGCTGGAGCACAGTTCAAATGGCTGAGCCAAAAAAGAGCCTCTCGTTAAGAATAAAATAATTGAAACGTTCTTTATGTTCTGTCTTTAATAATCCAACACTTTCTTTGGGTGAAGGGGAAAGGGAATTTTCACAGAGCATTTTTCTTTTTTAGAGCATCTTAGGTCGACTGTTTAAGAAATAGTGCAAACTAGTAGATTTTGTTGTTTTTTTTTAGAAATATGCACATTTATTTAATAATGATAAAACTTGTTAGAGAAGTGAGTAGAATTCTGGCTGATTGCATGAGTTTGAAAAGCTAAACTGTATGTAGACTTTGCAAATTACCGGAGCTATTGAGGTATTCAATTGTAGATGTGTTTGCCAGCCCACGGGTCGTGAGGCAAGGCGCGTAACAAAATGTGAAAAGACTTGTGTACTTTATCTGAAGGAGCAGCAATTTCTTGTTCTTTTTAGCTAAAAAGTCTTTATTTAAACTCGTTTGGATGTTGGGATTTGTTTGAAGCTGCGAAGGAAGGGTGGATTTTAGTGTGCTTGGCAGCTGACTCTCAGGCTCAKACCCAGTTACGTGTATGTAGCATCTTCCCCAGTTCTGATTTTAGCACAGACCTAGACTGTTCGCTGAAAATGCCAAGCCTGCCAACGTACATTTCCTTCAGCACAGGTGGACTTCGGAGGAAGCTGMTTTTTTAAAGTTTAGGATATCTAATCAGTGCATTTTAGCCATCATTGTAAGTATTTTCCCCCAAGCCGAGTTTTGTCGAGTTGTKTTTGGTACTTGGGAGCAGTTTGGCCTGCGTCGCGGCCGCCGCCGCCGCCTGACCCTCCGGGCCGGATCGCAGCACCCGCGGGGCGGCCGCCCCCGGCCCGGCCTTGTCCACACGGTGGGCGGCCCCGGCCACAGGGAGCGAGGCCGGAGGGAGCGAGGAGGCCGGAAGGCCTCCAAGGAGAGCACGGAGAGCGGGAGGCGGGTTGCTACTGCTTCCCTAGTAGAGGTATCCAGGTTCCTTCCTTTATGACCTTCTCAATGTTCCTTCTTTTGTTTTTTTCTTTTTCCTTCTGCCTAGTCCTTAAGGTCGTTGTAGAAGTTAAGCAGCAAAATCACGAGTGGATTAAACTGATGGAGAAGGAGCAAGAACTGTCTCTGAAAGGCTGATATTTTGACAGGTTTTTAAGATGTTTTGGAGAGACGAAGCTGGTGGGATCAAGCGCCTGAAGTGTTACCTGAAGTGCTGCATGACGCTGGGTAAGTAGAGCTTCCCCGCTTCCTTAGMAGCAAGAATAAATACGATTTAAAAATCAGTTTGAGCTGTGTAGATAAGGATTTCACTATAGAATCAGCTATCCGCTTGCTTAGGAGAGCTGGTATGTGGTAAATTGATGCTGTGGTTATGCTACATGTTTAGTTTTTAAAAATTGTGGCTAAGAGGTAAATCTCAGGGATTAGCAGCGTGTGAAAGCCCTTTGCCTGTGCTCGCAGCTTGGCCACGGTGCCCACAGCACTGCCGGTGCTTCCCGGGAAGGGCCGGAGGAGCCGGCGGGAGCCGCCAGGCCAGGCCAAGAGCGGCCGGGCCGGGGCCTGCGGTGCCTCAGCGGGGCCGCCCGCAGGCGCGCGGCGCCCCATAGCAGGCCGCAGAACATGAGGGCAGCGGCCGCGCAGGCGCCGAGGMGGGGCCCAGCTCCCTTCTCGTGGGTACCTAACGATCCAGACCGCCCGCTCGGCGCCTCCGAGCGTTGTGTCTGGCCGGGACGGGTGCCGAGCCGGACGTTTCCAGCGCGGCTCTCCCTGCTGCCCCCCTCCAAGCTCTGAGGCTGCACAGGGAAAGTTTCTGTTCCTTTCCTGAAAATTCCTTGTGAGTTTTCTTTTTATGATCTAAAATCTTAATTATTTTGAGGCAGCCCAAAGCACTGGTGTCAGCTAGAGGTTTCTGAGAGCAGTGTCAGCTGCCTCTGGAGCAGCCATGTGAAGTATCGTGTCTTCCTGCCACCTTCCTGCTCACATGGAGATCTTTCCTGCTCTGCTTTGCTCTTCATGAAACTCTTCAGCTCTGTTTTCTCACATTTGAAAGCTCTAGAGACCCCACAAATCTGCGACCCCCCTTTGCCCCATGTTCCTGCTCCCTCACCCCTCCCCAGGACCACCTCGTGGTGCTTGTCCACTTCACTGCCACACATGAAAGGAGCAAGGCAACATTCTCCCCATTTGCCCTGTAGGTGTTATTAATAAAGAACTAATTAACAGTAAAGCGGGAGTGCTRTAACAGCCCTTTTGGCGTAGGTGGTTGTCTGTGACGTGTTTTAGCTCAAAACAAGAATTACTGGATTTGCTGGCAGTGAAATCTCATGGTCTGTGTTCTGTATGTCAGAGAAATCRGGTTATAAGGTTTAGATGTTTAACTCTGCTTACTCTGCCTTTCCAGCTCCTTGGAAATTGCTCAGATCCACAGGTGTAAACCCACCCCCTCCATGAGAAGGGGACTGTGTCCTCGTGTGCTCTGCCCTTTCTGGTAAGCAGCGTTTGGTTTGTACCCCTCCCKCGTCAACCTCGAACCCGCTGCCGCGCTCGCCGGGACGGTCCAGGGCGTCGGGCCCCGCCGGAGGGGCGGCCGGTGCGCGGGCTCCCCCGGGATCCCKCCCTGCGCTCCTGCTTTCCAGCTCCCCGCTCGCCCTTTGCCGCCTCCCCCTTGGCTCCCCGGGCGTGCCGGGGAGCTCGCAGTGTCCGCGGCCACATCCCTGTTGTTCCAGCCCAGCCGGGTGGCCGGGAACCTCTGAGCGAGGGCAACAAGTGATCTGTGGTGTGTGAAGCCCACGCAAACTCAATGGCGCTTTTTTCTTTTGGGTTAGTAGGTTTCCAAGAGGAAGTTAGAATCTAAATATAGCTAGTAGGAGAGCTGGTCTGGGGGTAAACTGAAGGCGTGTTTTACCTGATGGGTTGCGCATGGGTGGTTGTGTTTTGAACTTGGAGCTTTCTACAGCTGCAGTGATGGAGAGGAAGATTTTTACTGCTAAGTTTCCAAGTGAGCTTTCCTGGTACCTTCCAACCATACTAATGCAGTATGTTCTTGACATAGATGCCTGCCTCTTGTTCCAGTCCCAAGACATGTGTTTTTATTGTTGCTCTGTGCTTCCTTAGTGGAATTAGAGAGTAGATTTTGGTAGCTCTGAGGCAGGATATCCTGTATTTTTAAAGCTCTAAGGATTTTATATTGTTTGATCTTAATAATACCTTAATGTCAGCAGCAAATGGGCCTGAGGGAACATCTCACAGGACAGAACGCCTGAGCAAGTTCAGGTTACGTCTAGATTGTAAAACACACGTGAGGCGAGAAAGAAGGTGGGTGGAAGCCGGCGGCAGCTCCCTGTCTGCAGGGAGCAGCGAATTCCTTTCCATACAGTTAAACTCCGTGTGCTGCATGGCCAGGCGGGAGAGTTGGGCAAGTGTTCCCCAGCCCAGAGCTCATGTGTCGCAGCCACCAGAGCCGTTCTGATTACTTTTGGTTAGTTCTCTTGGGACTTCTTATTTCTTCCATATTTTCAGTCCTGTTCAATAAGGGATTTCAGCAGCTATTTCCAAATTTCTGCCCTTTTTTCTCCCCCAACTATGTGATGTGAGCGGCAGAGTTGTTGCGAGTGCACGGCTGCCACCAGAGACCCCATCTCCTGCCTTGGTACATTTGTGCAGGGAGTTCTGGTGTTTGCGCAGGGAATTCTGGTGTTTGCGCAGGGAGTTCTGGTGTTTGTGCAGGGAATTGTGGTGTTTGCACAGGGAATTCTGGTGCGGCAGCCACCGGCAGCCAGGGCAGCTCGGTGGGAGCTGCAGATGGGGAAATTGGGCTGTTGACATGAGAGCAGGAAGGGAACTGAAAGCCAAAGAGTTCCTGAAAACTGAAATGCTCTCAGAGGAAGAAGTCACAAGATTCTCTTTTCCTTTTATATAAAACCAAAATGTAAAACCCGACACTTCTGTATTCTGGGTTGAGCTGTCATTTTAAGTAGCAACTGGTGGTGCAGTCTGCAGATTTTATTCTCAAGAGAGTCCACGTTGCTTCCCAGCTGCCTTTCTCTGGTTTCCCCTTCTGTGGGGATATAGTCAGAGATTGTGTAATTACATTTCATTTTGCAAAACACATGTTGGCTGCATTCACCAGGGATAATATTTCTGTGTTTCAAGACAACAGTGGTTTCTGTGGTGAAGCGAAGTCTATGAATAGAAGTCAGTGTCTGGACACATGTTTAAAATTGGTTCATGGTGGACGCTTTGAAATAATCAACCACCAGAGTTTTGAGCTGTGTGCAGTGTGAAACCACCCAGGCCAGACTCAAAGCCTAGGGGAGTCTCCCTGCCCCCTGCGACGGGCTTTGAGTTTCACACCGTGCGCCGCTCGTAAGCGATCACCTTGTTGTTGCTGCTAAGTTCGTGCACAAAGATAAATGGCTAAATTGCTTRCATTACGTATGGTATTCACATTCCATACTATATATTTTATTCTTGAAAGACTTTAAGAATCAGGCTGCTAAAATGGTAGGAAAGAAGACTGCTGTGTAGCAAGCAGCAGGGGCTCTCTGTGTTAATGCAAGCAGGCAGGATGCTGGATATCCACGAGATGGCATCTTTGGCAAAGAAACGYGCCCCAACGCGCTCCGCGCCCCCGAGCTGCTCAGGCTCACAGAAATTCAGCCTGGAACAGGAGCAGAAGTAGCGGCAATTAGCAAGAGAGAAAACGCTCCCTGCCCTCCTGCCACTTCATGGTCGCTCTCTGAGGTGTACGTCTGGTAGCTTCATCTTGTGGAGGAAGTGGTAGGAAAAAGGGAAATGAGGAGCGGGGGAAAGGATTAAGTGCACTTAGGAGATGGAAGTGAGCAAGAGTGGGTAAGCACAGAGCAAACCAGTGCAGAGGTGCAGGGAAGGCGGGTGCTTCTTTCTAACTTTCACGATACAGGAACTCAAGCTAAAAAGTTTAAAGTAGTTCAAAAATTATTACAGCTTAAATGAAGTACTGACAGATCTTGGGTGTGTGTGTGTGTGTGTATATATATATATATATAAAAAATATATATATATAAAGAAAATACTTTTTTATTTATAATATATATATTTTATATATTTCTATAAACTATATATATCTTTTTACWTATTTATATATATTTTTATATTTATATATTTTATATATATTTATTTTTTATATATTTATTTTATATACACACACACACACATACATATAGGTGAATATTCTTTATGACAATTTTTGTCATTTATTCTTCGGAATATTCTTCTGCTTACTTGATAAAATTACAGTGTTTCATCTTCTTTCATAGCTGACATCTGCCCTCTCTAGGCAGGCACAGCCACTGCTGCAGGTTGAGGCTTTAGGGCCCTCCGGTGCCGCCAGGAGGGGTGCCGAGCGCAGGCCGGCCGTGCCCGAGGGCTGCAGCCGAGGGTGCAGCGGCAGGAGGCGGCGCCGCCGCCGGCCCGGCTCCGCGCGCAGCCCGGGAGCTCCGCGCCGCCCGCACAGCGCTGCCGCCCTCCTGCCGCATCACCCACCGCATGGAGCAGAGCCAKGAGGCCATTAACAGAACTGGTGAGTGGCAAACAGCTCAGCCGGAGGAACAGCGGGTACAGCTTGGAGCTCCCCTTCCCCCATGAAGATCCTGCCTCGTCTGCAGAGGTAGCAGGCGAAAAACTGTTCCCTGCAGTGTGCCGGGGGAACCTAACTCCTGTAGCTGCTGTTTGCAGAGACAGCTGAAATGGCTGCTTATGTCTAACATTTAGACATAAATGTGAAATTAGATGAGCGCTTAAAAAAGTTAATTTCCTTCTCATGAGCACATCCTGTTTTCTGTGTTTCAGTGGTATGAATAGAAGTACTGTGAACTACTGACCTACCATCTGTAAAAGCCAGATAGGCAGCACTGGCTGGACACAACAGCTCATCCTCACGTGAGCATAGCCAAGGGAGACCCACTCGGCCTAGCTGAGGTCATCCCAGGTGTCCTGCGCAGCCGCGCGCTGAGCGACACCAGCACAAAGCTGACACGGACACGGCCGCGCAGCGGGACGAGCCTCCCGCACCGGCCCGGCGGCAGGCAGCTCCTCTAGGACTCCAAGGGCCGTCTCCTGCGGAGAAGCTGCACGGCATGGGAGTGTTCTTTGTTCGGGCGTATCCTGGAAGCAAAATGCTCCCTAGCGGGACAGCTCACCTTGTGGAGAGGAGGAGAAGGTCAGGCTGGGGGAGCTGACGGGAGCTCCTCGCTCCCCAGGAGGAGCGCGTGGCTCCCCAGGGYGCAGCCCCGAGGGCAGCAAAGCCGGGCGGAGGCAGCGCCGCCGCAGGGCTCTGACCGGCTGGGGCTGCGGATGCGGCAGACACGGATGCGGCGGATGCGGTGGATGTGGCTGTGGCGGCTGTGGCTGCGGCGCCGCGYGCTCTCCTCCTGCCCCGCCGAGCTGCGAGCGGCGGCGCCCCACCTGCGAGCAAAGCCCTGGGCACCCAACCCAGCTTTCCAGCGCCTGCTCAAGGAGGAACACGCACAAGTTCGGTTGTACATGTTTACTAACACAGTTAGTATAAATCTTTTTTTATATACTCTGCAACATTTATAGAGATTTTACGCACTTATAGTTAGTGTCAAAACACCTTGGTTTTTATTTTCATATCCTTTTTGAATCAGGTTAAGCTGTAAACAATTTTTCTTCCAATCAAATACTGCCAGCTAGAATTACTTCCACTCACGCATCACTGAAAACAAAAAGGGTATTTTTCCTTAAGTATAGATTTTCTTTTTAAACCATGTCACTTTATACTGAAACCAATAGCTAGATTCAATGCACCTGATTAGTTATGTAAACAGAGAACCCAAATGAAACCTCAGCAGAACGAGTAAGTTGGTTCCTTCACAGAATGGAAACGTTTCTCTCCCCTGACTTGAGGTTAGCCTGGTCAGGAGTGTAGAGCGTGGCACATTAATCAACCTAGGAGGTGTATAAATTGCACCGTATCTGAATTAACAGTTATGCATAATGAAATGCACAAATTCATGCTAGAAAGCATTTTTCAATATCAAGTGGCAGCCAACTGGCAACCATAACAGTTAAGTTCTGCACCATCATTTATGGCATTATAGATAACTATTACATATAGCATACTTTAAAACCCTGAAGGATTGTGTTATTGGAAACATTCTCCAGGCAGTCATTTGGTTTGAAACATTGGGAGAAAGCCTAAAGAGCCCATCCTCTTATACCAATCATGGTACCTTTAAATTTCATGAAGTAGATCAGATATGATGTGTATTTCACAGTAACAAAGTTGCTTTAATGCCTTTTCTCCAACAGTAGGATTGAGTTAGATGTTTCTGCCCTCACATCATCATTGTCCTGGTGGTTTTCCCTTTTCTCAGTTTGGATAACTACATTGAGCACTTTTCCTGTTGTTTTTTTTTTTTTTTTTTAACTATTCATCAGTCCTTTCAGAATATCTTCAGAAAATTCCAGCAGGGGCAGTTCCGGGGACGGGATGTCCAGGGGAGGAAGGTTGGGTATGGGAATGTCCTTTGCCTTCCCAGCAGCTGCTCCAAACTTCTGCCAACTCGCAGCTGAAGAGGCTTCTGAATGTTGCTGCAGACCCCACAACTCTGACTTCTCTACGAAGTCAGCATCTACATCCAACTCCTTCTCTACTGGAGATTTTTGGAGTCTAGCTCTTTCTGCTTTTAACTGCTTATTCTCTCTCCTTAATCTCTCATTTTCAGCTACAAGAAATTCTATATGCCGTTTCAAATCTGCAATTTTGGTTGCCTGCTCTTCTATTATCGTTTTGTCATCTTTTGGAGCCTTACTCCCAATACATGCCTCCAATGGCTCTTTTTTTTTCTGAAGCAGAAACAATAGCGTATCCGGGTCCCTGTCAAAGACACCCTGAATATTCTGTAGATGTTTCTCTGCAGAAGGACTGTACTTCTGAGTAACAGGAACCAACACGTTTGGATCATCAGATTCCTCAGCAGGCGGCTTAGAGGAGGTCTGAAGATGCGCCGCGGCGTCCTTGTCAGCCTGCTGCTGGGCTTTCAGCTTCTCCTCTCGCTTTGCCCTTTTCCACCTCTCCTGGATGAGCAGCAGCTGTTTCAGGTGACTGTCCCTTTGTAATTCCAGTGATAGCTGTGCCTGTGCAGGAACAAGAGTAAACAAATCAGCAGGTGGTGCCTAATCCTACTGCATATTCATGCACGTGAAGTTTTGTTCACGCAAACGTTTACAGAACCAGCATCACGGCACGTCCCAGGGACCAAGGCTTTTGCTATTCAGATGCTAAATCCATCCAGGAGCTCTCCCTTCTTGCACAACATGAGAAATTCAGATATGTCCTCCAAATTTATCATCACTAGGGCTATTATTAAGGACCAAGTTTTAACATACTAATAACACCACTAAGCAGAAAAGTGTCCCAATGCCTAATATGGTCCAGAATGATGTGGCCATATTTAAAGGAAAGAGGATATTTAATAGCTCACAGGAACCACCTGAGAAAGGGGTTACAGATTTTCTGTAAGAACGGCCCTTGGTGGGACAGGCAGATGCCACATGTGTCCGACCAGCGCTGAAGCGGGGACTGTGGGGACTGTGTTCATATTGCCTGGACTCGAAGGCTGCTGCTGTGGTCGGTGTGAGCAGAGCGGAGGCCCTGCATCCACGGGCATCCCTGCATGCACGGGCAGCTCTGAGCAGCACACGAGGGGGGCGCAGGGCCGCCCCGGCACCCCCGCGCAGGACACGAGCCCATGGGGCCGCGCGGCGCCCACCTGCTCCGACTGCGTCAGCTTCATGGCGTCCGTCAGGTAGGCTGCGGAGAGAGCACGGGGAGAGAGGAGAGCGCGTTACAAAACCTGCGCCTGGCCTGAGGAAAAGCTGCAGGCCTTACGTGTTCCGAACTGCGAGGCGAAAGCAGCAGGAGAAAGCCAAAACCTTCACCAAATTACAGGGGCGGGCAACACATTCTATTTTTCCAGAGTCTAAAAACGTTACCGTAAGATTATCTAACACATGCTACATCCTGGCCATTGCATCGTGACAGCTCAGGTGGTTCCAATTTGGTCTTCAGAGGATGACTCCAGCCCACTGTGATGGGCATTTCCAGAAAATGCCCGGAAGAACAACTTCCCTATGAGTGGAAGCTACACAAGTCAGCACTAGGATGCAACGCTTTTCCTTAACATGCATGTAAGTAAAATCCTCCCTCATTATAGGCCAAAATTATGAAGCAAAGCTTTTTTAGGTACGTTCCTGGACTGTAGTCCCTCATCACAGCTACCCACTTTTTCATCAACTTCCCCTCCAAGCCAGAAGAGCTGCCTAGAGCAGTTCTTGAGTCTTTGCATCTATCTTGCTAGTGCTGAAAACGACAAAAGAGGGATAARAAATTCTTAATCAAATTCAGAAAGATGAAATATAATGGTGCAGAATCATCCACTGAAGAACAAGAAACATTCSAAGTATTTTTGGTTTGTCTTAGTATGTGACAAGAAGGAACAAAAACATGAAGTCTGTATATTAGAACTTAAGTGCCATCCCTCATTGCTCTCAGCATTCATAAATACCAAATAAATTACTAGGTTGTTTTTATTTATTTATGGCATTTATGAATGGGAAGCCAGAATGCCTGGTATCTAGGTTACAATGTTCAGAGTAACCACTTGTTTTGTCTCCATACACATCCTGTCACTGGCAATGTCCCACTTGTTGCACCAATTAAGACATTCTCTTTCTTCTTCTGCCAGGTGGTTGCTGCACCTTGTCAGCCAGCTCATGGACTGAAGCGCAGATAATTAAGTGTGACTCGTTAGCTGGACAGGTAGAGAACAAAACCTCAGTTACGAGAGGGCTGCCAGGGGCAGTGCCAAGGCCCCAGTGCAATCTGCCCTTTCGCTGGGCTCTAGCAGAGCTGACCTGACTGCCCTTTAGCAGCGGGTACGCTGTCTTGATTGAGACATTAGAAAACCAAAGTAAATAAACCCCTTAGTTAAAAAAATATATGTCTAAGGCCCCAAAAAATCAACTTTGGAAACTTCTGGATATAGTTGTTCATATTAGAGAACAGATGACCAAAGGGGACTTTGATCTGGACCAAAAAATCAATTCATATTTTAAGTTAAAAAAGAGTACTCTGCAAGTTACTAGGTACTTTACCTACACGAAGTAGGTGAATCTAGAATGAGATGTGAAAAGCTGGAATGTGAGATATACGTACTCACCAGCAGCTTTTTTGTGACACGAAATTGCTTCCTCATATTTCCCCGCTGCGAGCAAACGGTCTGCTTTTCTGCTCTGCTGATGAGCCTTAAAACAAGAAGAGCATTACATCCGTGAGGGTTAACCCACAAGTAGTTTCTTCTGTTTTAAAAGCAAAAGCTGTGAGCACATCTAAGCATCCTGCACCAATTTCAGTTCTCAGGCTCAGGTCCCCCAGTCCTTTCAGGATTTTGATTTAGTTTCTTTATGAATACTGCCTTTAGCATGCATCTTACCAGAACGTGTACCATACAGGCAAGGAATGAAGTTTGCAAATGCCGCCRAGACGGTGTTTGCAATGCCATGAAATCCCTCTGCAGCTCCTCCTCAGCACCCACACCTTTGTCTTCACAGACTTTCGCTGTTTTTGTGTAAGAAGAGATTGCAGAAGCCACGAAACTTTAAGTACTTAGGACCAATTCACCTGGCGGAATGCCAGATATTTGAACCATGTAGCTGGAAAATGAAAAGCAATGTTGCACCTTAGAGCTAACCTGACTGCTGCCCCGTGGCCAGGAGGCCTTGCCTCTTGCGTGAAGAAGCTGGGAGAGAAGTTGTTCTTTTTTTGTTCCCCGCACACCTGCCTTTGAAAGCGAGGTGCAAAGCCCCGGTTAAAAGCACGGAGTCCTGCTGCACACCAGGCRCTCCAGGCACTCCCTGCTCCGCGAGCAAGGGCAGAGCGGAGGCGGCTGCAGCGCCGCGGAGCGCCGGCCTCGCCGCGGGACACAAACTCCACGGAATTCCAGGGTCCTCCCGCAGGGACAAGCGGGCGACAGGAAAGGCCACGACTCGCACGCGCAGGGCTGGCACTCACACACACTGCCCGGCACGGCTTTAGTGCAGCCTCCGTTTCAAGGGAAAGGACAAGAAGAGCCAAGCACCAGCTCTGCACAACACCGCAACACACTGACACAGCTCACACAAGTTTTTGCTGTTCTTTGTCTTTAAACGTTAGTGTTTCTCTGTGCTGGAGCCCACCTGCCTTAACTTTTAAAGGAAAAGGAAGTGACAGCTTCAAATGTGTATCCCTGTCTCTGACCCATWCAAATATTCTGTTCCTCCTCTTCACCAGATAAATGTACCAGGCTTCGGATGTTCGGTTAATACAAGATTCATTGACTCTCCTCTTAAGCATRTTCCAGGATAATACATAAAACATATGCATACATACATAAAAATGAGACCATTTGTCCATGTCCTAAGCCGTTAGGATGACTGGCTTCCTGCAGGCCTTATTTATGGAATTACACTTCTCTCTGTCTCCCCCAATATTGGCAGAAGCATCAAAAGCCATAAAAAATACTGTAATACACTTCTATCAGGCCTGATATGATACTTGCAYTAACATTCATTTAAAAAAAGTTCAAAATTCAGATCAGTTTATTTGTCAGCATTTACCTTCAAATTTACTSCAATATCTACAATATTGCAATAAATTCAATTTTCTGCTAGAATTTTAGTAGTTCTGATACCACAAATGAGGCAATAGATTGGGAGTTGATATAAGCAGATAAGGTAACAAATGGAGCATTTTTAATGCAGAAGAGTTTAATTTCTTCGGAAAACACTCTTTTGGGCAGCATTTATCCTTAAACAATCCCCAGCAGTTACACCATTGGATTCAGGAATCTAGCTTTTCTAAAACTAACTTAATGCATTAATAATGAGTGTTTTAAACACATCCTGATTCTGATTCTTCAGAACAAATACTATAGGGATGCTTATTCTCATGGTGTTGCTAACATTCCCTATTTCTTTTTCCCTGAGATTAAATAATCTCAGCAGAAGTAGTGCTGCACCATTGGAAAATCATGTATTTTATGGCCTCTTTCTATTGACTGCTACAAATGACACATGCCAGGAGGACAAAACTTATTTCCCACGAGCATGAACAGAGGAGCATCAACTCATACGGAGCCGGGCCCTCAGCTACTCGAGGCAGCTCCTCCGTTTCCAAGTTAGCTGCAGCGTGAGCATAAAAACACCTGAGCTGGTTCTTGAACAACCGTTTTTCAATAAATTTGCATCTTCTTCTGCAAGTTGCACAGGCAGGGCTAAGCAACGAGGGAATCTGAAATCAGGGAGTATCTGGAGACAGAAGATCTAATAAAGCAGCTCAGCAAGCCAGAGGCTTGGCTCCATTTATTAGTTTCTACATAGAAGAATCTGAAACTAGTTATTTTCAAGGCTTTTTTTTTTCCATGTTTTACACTGTTGCAGCATAGTCCTATTTGAATCACTTTAGCATATGCAGAACATTTGAGGACCATCTATCTGTTGTTATTTGATTGATCAATTAAATTATTTCCATCCTCAATTAACTCAGTTCACTCTCAGAAGCTGAAGGGAGTCTAAAGCAGTTGGGCTAGAACATAAAAAACAAGCAGAAACAAACAAACTAAAAAAAACAAACCAAAGGAAAAACCACCAGATGCTAAGAAAAAGGAAAAAAAAAAAAAAAACCAAAAACCACCAGATGCTAAGAAAAAGGAAAAAAAAAAAAAAAACCACACAGGACTGGTTGATTATAAGGACAAAATTCCTTTCTTGCTGTTACATTAAAATACACAAATGCCTGGCTTATTCTGGTGCAGAGCAGCAGATTTCACCAGTAGAAACAAGAGGAACAGCAGCAGAGAAAGGGGAAAAAAAGCAGCCTTTTTGCACAGATTTATTTGAGAAAGCTGGTGTTTTGCAGTTGATCATAAGGGGAAAAAAAATCCTTATTTTGTACATTTTCCTGCCAACTTGGCAAGGATACATTTACTCGTTTATTCCACCCTGCAAGTGATTATTCTGAGTAGTTGACTGTGCAAAGATCATGGAATTTCTCTCATTTTCATGGGAGAATATTCATCACCGGCAGTTTAAAGGAGACTGTGGTGCTGTTTGCTAGCAGGCAGCAATGGGTCTGTAACGGGAGTATTTGGGTGCTTAATGTGACACGTATCAGGACAACCCCCCAYATCTCACCTCGCCGGGGCACGGTCTCGGCACCCCGCCACATTTAGGCGCACGCAGCATCCAAAGCACTGCTGGAAACGCGTCCTGAACTCAGCGTGGACTGCATCCCACTGCAACAACCGGCAGCGGAAGAACTAGTCCTATCAAAAGGGGTTTTCGAGTTTATTCCTGGCCTGATGGCRCGCTAGGAGGAGGAGGGTACAGCAACCCCGGAGCGGCTAAGCCGGTTCCTAGCAGATTCCAGTAGAACTGCTCTCACTTTGGTTGTGCTGCTGTGACGTTAGCGAAGCGGCTGCTGCATAAATGTAGTTGGTCCCTAGATCTGGTTTCTCCTTCCTGTCTCACTTGCATCGTTGCAAATCTCTGCAGAACCCCTGTGTTGTAAGAATAATTACAATTTATTACCGAGCTATGGAAATGGAGGGGGAAGCAGCTTGACAGGAGCCTTCAGAAGCCCCTCCCAATCCAGCCAGGCAGGAATTCCCAGTGGGCAAACCCACAGGTGGAGCAGCTTGACCCCCCAAGAGGGAGCAGGTGTGAGCAAAGCCTGGCCTAGGTAAAAAGCTTCCTCAACAGCCTCTAGCTCTTTTGATTCCTAGGGTGTTTGTGCGTGTTGCACTGCATCCCTGAGCTGCTCTGGACAAACCAGAGAAACAGGTAAGTTGAACAATTTCCCAACTGCAGCTAAGGTATAATACTTATTTTAAATTAGTGCTGATACGATCTTGAATGATCCTACCTGATTCTCTACCCAGCTAACCAAAATTGGTGACTCATACAACCTTTCAGCAAGTGAATGAAAAATTTATCAGCCACCTAGAGCAGCAATGCAGAAAATCTCTTTACCTAAAATTTTCTTCAACAGGTCAAAAATTAACACAGCGTTTATTTTAATGCTCTATAAACAAGATGATCAGGTGCCCGCAACAGGCCATGTGAAAGGCTACTATTTCCTCAAACTGTGAAAAAGTGGTGCCAGTTTTCTGTCTAGGTAAGATGAAGCACRGTAGCTTCAAGAATCACCACACGATCCCATTTTAGGTTGGGGAAAAAAAACAAGCTTTTCTCTTATAATTTCATTTCACTACTAGCTCTTATGGAAAGAAGACTAGTATCCTCAATCCTACAATATTTTCAAGGTAATTAGAAATTAGAAAATCTCATCTGTAGTAATCTAATCTAATCGTGGTAAATAGAAAATCAGGMAATGTACTACCCTCTCCCAGGAGCAGTAATTTGCAGCAGTGCTGCTGTGTCTGGGATAGCCTAGTGCCCATTTCCTTTGCTGCCCCAATGGGAACAGCCCTGCAGGGCACAAAGCCTTGTGAGAAATGTTAACCTTGTTGTCTTTGCTAATTGTAGGGGCCCTCTAGAAGTTTATCCATTTATCATATGCCTATGAAGCAGATCACTAGGAAAGTTACCAAGCAAGTCGGGAAAACCTGGCTGCTACAGATGGAGGGGCCTGTGGAGAGCTGCCTGTAAAGGAGGCAGCCCATCAATGTCCCAGCTACAAGCAGCGCTGCTAACATCGTCTGCTTCATGCTACAAGTTGTAGGTGCTCGTGATTTTTTTGCTGGAAAGACTCAATAACAAAGCTCTGACACTGCTAAGCAAAGAGGGGAGGAATTTTCTGAGATGTGAGGGATCTGCTTTGGGATTTGCTTTGTTTCCATGTGCAYTTCTGCAGCAGCCGCTCAGGGGGTGCTAAGGGCTGCTGCGCTGCCTTCCCCCTGCTTCTCTTCAAATCCCTTCTCACCAGGAAACGATGGGACTTGCACGTGTGCGTACGCAGTGGAAAAGGGAACGCGGGAAGAATGTAGGCTGGACTGCCTGGCCTGGGAAGTCCAAGAATAAACTACAGCCATCTATGAAACTGTAGTGTGGGAGTGATAAATGAGAAGGATCATGGAGAATGTTTAGATTTACAGGGAGCTAYGTTATAAGTAAAAAATAACAAAATAGGAGTGTGTTTGCCACTACAAAAGAAAAGCTACTATGTAGCTTTATTACCAAGAGCAAGTCACCTTAAAAATATTTGCTGTATTTGAGGGAAACTGCTACAATCAGATGGAGTTAGCTAGTGATTCTATTAAAAAATAAATAAATAAATTGTGGGTGTTCAGCCAATATCAGTAGCCACAATTTAGCTGAAATTTCTCTTGTTGAAAGCCCATACTTAGCAAGGCTACAGAATAATGATTCAACTATAAATTACAGGTTTCTGTAATTGTAGAGCAAAATAAGGATGTGACACTCTCATAAGAACATATTCTCAATTCAGCAC